GACGCTGTGCGACGCATTCCGCCAATGCCCGAGGCAAGCGAGGCTCCTTCAATTGTGACCATAGTTCCAGGGAAGAATCAAACCATCCACTCACGTTTAGTCTCGTGGGGTGGATAAGTGCTCAAGAATCCATTCTTCGCATAAGCTGCAACCATCCCAGGGCTCTGAACACGTTGGATTTTGCCATGGAATGAGGCAAACCATTGAAAAATGTGTCTGGAAAAGCGAATCGGTCCGTCCGTTTCCGCACAAAACTAATCGGGTTTGAGATAGTACTCGACGTGGTGCCTGCTGGTGTAACCTAGATCATCTCCAAGCAGACCTAGATTGTTGTTTCGAGACTCGCTTTGATGTTGCCATGGCGGAAACACAAAGGCGGTGTTCGCCAGCACATCTTAGAGCTGCGCTCTACATACTAAGTGGTGTTTTTTGGGTGTATTTGTTATGCCCACCCTTTCGTGCGGCCTGATTGGAGAACGAAGTCAGCATGGCCCAGTTCGGTAGGCATTAAAAAAATGGCATCGGGGGATGGGCTACAGTGAAACGACCACCCTTGAACCTTCCTTGATACTCGCGTGAATGGTTATCAAGGCTCGATATAAGCGGATCTACGCCGAACCTGACAATAATGGAATGCCTCCCTAACACCCTTTTTTTTGCAGGCGTTTTCAACTGCCCGAATCTTCCACGAACCCAGTTTCTCTGGCAAAGTGCCCATTTTCTGATCCGCCGCACCATGCGGCCTCGAGGCCCCGCACCATGCGGGGTATCAGTGATTCGGGCAGTCAAAAGTGACTGGTCAAATATGCCAGCCAATCACATGTTCACGCGATCCATCAGGGCAACTCCCTAGCATCTTCTGCGAAACCCGAAATCTCGATTGATGCCATCAATCTACACCCAATTAATGCCAACCGAACACTCAGGCCATTTTTTTGAAGGTGCGCTACAGCTACATTCCGATTTCGAAGTTGTTTCAGGAAATGCCCAGGCGCCATTTTTTGGGGGCCCGTTAAAAATGCCCATAATTGCGATAATGGCCATAATGTCTGCGAACCGGGCCCATGTTTCAGAAACACCGCAGCATACGAACTTAGACAGTCCATCCGGCCCCTGGTGGCTTCGAATCCACTAGGTTCCCCTCCCGGTGGAACCGGGTTCCCACGCGGATGCAAGGGGTGTCGTGACCCACAGCTGGGAGCTGCACGCGAGAGGCAGTGCCCCGCCCGGCTGCAGGTCCCTAGCGAGATCCGGGCGGCGGAGTCAGCTGGCAGGGTGGTCCCGCGCCGAGCCCGGGCCACGCCAGCGCCACGCAGCGTATTACGGCGGAGGCGATGAGGCATAGTCCTCTCCGCGAGTGGTGGTAACCACCCCCCGAATGGTTCTCGCGGACTGATGGCTACGTGGCGGACGTGGTTACACACGCGTGCATGTGGCGGAACCTCCCCCCTTGACACGTCCAAAGCGGTGCGGGCTCGCATGCACGCTCAGGTGGACCGCGAGTACCCCATTTTGATGGCTCCTCGTCCTCCTCTTATGTTCACGGTGAGGGTGGCTGGTGCTCATCCTCTTCCTCCATCTTCAATTTCTCTTCTTTTGTCGTCCCTCTCTCCCCATCCACCCAGCTTAGTGCAACGGCTAGTGGTAGCTCCGTTCCATCCTGTCCGCGATCGCGATCAGTCTAGTTCCGTAGTCGTTGCGGTCGCAAGAACTTGTTGCCGGCGGTTCCTCATAGATTCCCCGTCCTCTGTTCGCGCTCGAATAGTGCTACCGGTCATGGCTCACGGATTAAAGGCACTGAGATCTGGTAACAAGGAGGCCGCATCCTATCCGTTTATCATCTCCGTTGCGGGAGCTAACGTGGAGCTTGCACCCGACCAGTGGAAACTGCTTGGCGATGAGAAGCATCCGTTAACGGCGCAATTGTTCGACTTTGTCGTTGGGTGAGATATCCTCAAACCATGTCACGATTCTCAAGTGCATGCGTACTAAGGTGGTCGCGATGTGTTTATAATAGCCTGATCGCGTAGTACGCCCGCGGAGCATGTCAGAATCCCAACCACTAGACCACTGGGATAAAAGGGCTTCTTTCAGTAGCGGGTCAGTGCGCCCATAACCCCCCAGGCGAACGCGCCTGTAACCCTCTCCAGGATCAATCGGGCATCCACAGTGCAGATCTACTGACACCCCCCGACAATGGGAGGCCCAGGACTAAGCACAGCGGCAACGGCCTACATGTGCATACACCGGGAATCGAACCCGAGACCGCTCTGATACCATGTCAGAATCCCAACCACTAGACCATTGGGATAAAAGGGCTTGTTTCAGTAGCGGGTCAGTGCGCCCATAACCCCCCAGGCGAACGCGCCTGTAACCCTCTCCAGGATCAATCGGGCATCCACAGTGCAGATCTACTGACAGAGCATTCACCTTGCTAACAAGATCACCCCGTACCCAACAGAGTGATTGTCCAGAGGTTTCTGACTCAGGGTGCGGCGGTGCGCGTCCGGATCGTGACGAGCAAAGTTGTAGCGGATATAGTCGTGGGTCGCGATGACGTGGTCGACACCTTTGCCGGTATGATGGAGTGCAGTATGGTTGCTTTCTGCATCTGGTCCGAGTGAGTATTCACTGAACGTTTGAACATCGTGGTGCCCTCATTTTATGGATTAACGCGGTCAACGATGCCCCGTGCAGGAACTTGATCGACAAGAAGACCTAGAACGCTAGCATGCTCCTTCTCCTTCGCCCGGGCCACCTGTCGGTTGACAAGGACGAGACATGGAACACGAGGTTCGTTCGCGTTGCTATCCCCTCTGGTGGTGCGGAACACATCACCGCGTCAGATGCGCTTGTAGAGTGAGTGTCACGTTCATGTGTATGCTGCTTGTCATTTCCAGTTCCGCTGCACGAGTCAGGATAACCATACGTTCGCGTCAGTGTCTGTACGATTGGTAGATGGTTTCAGGGTCGTGTTGACGAGAATTTCGCGCGCGGCTCCATTCATTGCACCCGGTCCCGCCAGCTTAAAGATCCCACTCGTTTGGTTGATCTGGTATGTCATGGCGATGTACGCGGTCGTGGACGCGTTCGTGTGTGAAAAATGAGGAATGAAGAAGAGGAGGCACTAGCATCAGTTGGCATACATATAGGAAACCCTAATTGGGTTGTACTCGCTATAGAGTACCCCACTGCAGGCTAGACAATTATAACATTCTGACACACCCCCATAGCCAAAGTGGGGTGTAATCAGCACAATGAGCAAGCAGGCATAGAGCAGGAGTTCACAATAGGGAGCAAAGCTAGAGTTAATCACAGCGGGCAAGTGAGGAGGAGGAGGAACCGTGGAGGGAGAGAAGATGGGAGGCAACGACTGAAGCCGCAGAGGCACGGGCACAGGAGCGGCTGACTCAGTGGCTACCAAAGCAAGGGCGACGGACTACTAGAGTAACTGGCTCCGCAGCTATAGACGAGCAGCAGGAGCAACGGACCCACTGGCGACTGGTGCAACAGGCTCAGTGGCTACCGAAGCAAGGGCGACGGACTACTGGCGCTGCAGGCGACACGACAGCTACCTTCACACAACCTCCTCCAGCTGCCCTACACCTCTCGACACACACCCCCTGCTCAAACCCTAGTTCTACTCCCACAGCACCCCCCTTTCACACACCCCCTGCTGCACCCTAGGTTCACTCACACCCCACCCCCTAGCACCACTCCGTCGACTCCCACACACCCACCCCCCTCAGCGGCAGCTGCAGCAGTGGGAGACAGAGGAGGAGGAGGAGCAGGGGAGACCACACACCCGCCACCCCCTACTCGCCACCCCCAAACCCTAACACAGGGCAGGGCGGGATGGCGGGTAGGGAGGTTACGGGGGGGGGGGGGGGGGAAGGGGGGGGGGGGCGACGCGCGGCCTCCAAGGGCGCCAAAGCAGGCGGCAAAAGGGGCGACGCTCGCCCCCCCCCCCCCCCCCCCCAGGTCGCCCCTCAGGTCCCCTCGACAGACGACGGGAAAAGAGGGGGGGGGGGGCGGTGCACGTGCCCCCGGTGCGCCGCGACTGGCGACGGAGCATGGCCGGGGCGGGGCCGGGGCAGGGTCGAGGCAGGGCCGAAAGGGGCGGCGACGGGGCCGCAAGGGGCGGTGACGGGGCCGCTGGAGGCGGTGACGGGGCCGATAGGGGCGGCGACGGGGCCGTTAGGGGCGGCGACGGGGCCGCAAGGGGCGGCGACGGGGCCGTTGGAGGCGGCGACGGGGCCGATAGGGGCGGCGACGGGGCCGTTAGGAGCGGCGACGGGGCCGCAAGGGGCGGCGACGGGGCCTCTGGAGGCGGCGACGGGGCCGATAGGCGCGGCGACGGGGCCGCGAAGGGGCCGCGAGGGGCCTGAGAGGTCGGCAAAGGGGCTGTTAGGGGCGGGGACAGGGCCGCGAAGGGGCCGCGAGGGGCCTGGAAGGGCGGCGACGGGCCGCTAGGGGCGGCGACGGGGCCGCGAAGGGGCCGCGAGGGGCCTGAGAGGTCGGCGACGGGGCCGTTAGGGGCGGCGATAGGGCGGCGAAGGGGCCGCGAGGGGCCTGGAAGGGCGGCAACGGGGCCGCGAAGGGGCCGCGAGGGGCCGAGAAGGGCGGCGACGGGGCCGCGAGGGGTGGCGACGGGGCCGCTAAGGGTCGCGCGAGGGGCACGCCACGGGGCGTGCAGAACACAGAGTAGCAGCGGAAGCAGTTAGGTGGGCCCACAGGCCAGGAGCGTAGATGCTCTGCTAGCATGTGAAGAATGAGGAATGAAGAAGAGGAGGCACTAGCAGCAGTTGGCATACATATAGGAAACCCTAATTGGGTTGTACTCGCTTTAGAGTACCCCACTGCAGGCTAGACAATTATAACATTCTGACATCGTGATGAGCAACCGTGCTAACAAATGACATGTTTTGTTTTTTCAGGACGCGGCGTCATTGAAGGGCTCCGTTGGCAACCTCGCTTGTCTGTTCGCGTTCGACAAGATCATGACCCAGCTGGACGCAGTGGTTGCCAGTGGATCTGGGCCGCAATACTCAAAGCCTAACGCGAAGACTCTGCATGCACTGCGGCTGGAGACGTTCCGCGCTGCCGAGGAGCTCGCGCTCAACCTGAGCGTGGATATGACGCGTCCCCAGAACGGCGTTGAGGCAGACGGTGCTGAACTGGGGAAGGTGCAAAAGGTGTCAATGGGTTCGCAGGTTCTCGCTCTCACTGGTGCCGCTGGTGTCTCGAACCGCGGAGGTACGCGGGGGGGGGACAGTGGTCAACGCCGATGACGAAGGGGCAAAGGATACTGCGGCTAAGGGTGCACCCCTAGATGAGACCGGGTGTGAGGGGGAGGAGTCGAGCGAGGAGGAGGCGGAGGCACACGTGGTCGCGGCCGCGGCAGCAAGCAGGCCCACAACATCCGGCAAGAGGATCAAGCATTTCGCGCAGCATTTGGTCCCCGGTGCTGGAAGCGCGGGCCCGAGCGGTGAGGTCGGGGGCAAGAGTCCCGTGAGAGTTGCGCGTGATTACAACTCCATGTCCGTGTTGCCATCTCATAAGCTTGCAGCCGAGATCACGCAACTCGACTGCAAGCTTGCAACGCAGGCAGAAGAGATCGCACGGCTGAAGAAATGCCCGGAGTCGGGCGTTGGTGGGGTCGTAGTCGTGGGCCATGAGGAGCTCGTGTCCGCACTTGCTAATGCGGTTCGGGCATTGGAGAAGGAGGCGAGGGCGATCGCGCTGGAAAGGGCAGTACTGGGCGATACGCATAACCAGGAGGCGCTGGTGCTAGGGCAAGTGGACGCAAGGTTGGGACAGCTGCAGGGGGTGGTGGCAGACTCCATGGAAACCGCTTAGAAGAAGCTGACAGACGAGGTTGCGCGGAAGATTGACAACATGTCGACTGCGATCGCCGCGACAGCAGAGCGGGAAATCACAACCAGCGGGGTCACGAACGCGCTGCACACGCTTATCGTGCTCGTTGGAGGAAGCCCGCCGCCGCGCACTGAAACTGAAGAACCAGCCGCGACGGAGAATGCCGAGCCCAGGGATGCAGAGCATGGAAAGCGGGCGGCAAGCGCGAGGGCTGAGAATCAGCGGGGGCTGAAGAGGCAGAGAGGTCCGCAGGCAGCGGCCGCGGTGCGCAACCCGAGCGTGCAGGACTTGCTGAAGCACAAGTGGGGCGCTGCATCGCGGGGTGCAGCACAGCCTGCTCAACCGGGTTTGAGCTCACGCTCCATCCCACCTGGAGAAGCTCCACCCAAACCACCGGGCCCTAACAGGGCAACCGCGACAATGACGGCTACCGTGGGTAAGGGCAAGGGTAAGGCGGAGGATGGGGAGGGGCCCGCTACTGCGGGTTCGCTGGCTGCGAGGCGCGAGGTCCAGCCCGCGTCGGCTGCAGCGACGGAAGGCAAGCAGACCGCGGTCGCACCCACTCATGCTACCGCAAGACATCAAGGGCGTAGCGCTATTGCATCTGTAGGTCCGAGCGCTGCCGCGGTTGAGGTCAAGACGGAGAAACGCAGCAGGGGTGGCAAGAAGTTGTCCCCTACACCCGTGTACACGATCGACGAGGACGATGCGGACGACGAGGTGCAGACTCTCGTGAGCAGGTGGGTCCTGGAGGCGGGCGACGGAGGAGAGCAGGGTGGGGAGGCCGAGGTCGAGGTTCATAGCGGCGGGGAGAGCGCGGACGAGCAAGACGGAGACCCCGTGGTCGTACCAGGTGGCGCAACGGGAGGACAGGGTGACACCAGCAGCAAGCGCAGGGGCTGTGGTATCCGCGCTCCACCCAGGGGTGGACCCGGCTTGGTTTCTGAACCGCATCTGGGGGGAAAGAAGCTTTGGCTCGAACACGGCGACCGCCAAGATCTGCAGTACAAGACCGCAATCGCGATGCTGCCCTACGACAAGAAGGTGGACCCCGGGCTGAACCTGAGCCAGAAGCAGCTTCGAGATTGGACCGCGGACCTGTCCATTGCCGAGGGGTTACATACGGGCCTCTTAATCACCATGCACTACCGCAATCTTGTAGCCAGCAAGGACAGGTGAGCTGTGCCAGACCACCATCATCTAGTGCGTTCATACGGTTTTGTAGGTTGTTGGGGGGTGGGGGGGGGGGAGGGGGTGGGGCGGGGGGGAGGTTGATTATCATGTTCTGGCCGCTCCACCCACTGCGTGGCAGGTGGCAGCGCATGTTCGAATCCTATCGCGGGCTAACCAAGCCCGGAATGCACACCACCAACGAGATTGCATGGGCCGCAGTGGTAGGCAAGGAGGCTGCAGCAGAAGAAGCGGAGCTCGGCGATGTGGAACCGACGGACTACGCGGGAGCGGTCGCATGCGCGATTGCAATGGTGTGGGAGGTGACTCGCGGTTCTAACGTCACGGCCGCAGCGGATAATGGACATTTGGCCGCGCGAGCTGCTGGTTGCTATGGGGAGCCAAGCCGTCTCTTCCCCATAGTTTCCGCGTACGTCGTCAATGCGGTGCGGAAGCGCAATGCCCGCGAGCTGCAAGCTGAGGACGACGAGCCGCAGGTTGTCGCGGACCCGAAGGTGGTCGCGACCGCAATTGTGACTGGAGTAGTGAACGAGGTCGTCGCCAAGTCTCGCGATCTCAGGCACATTGAGTTGGCCGCCCGCGAAACGGTGGACGTTATCGTCACTTGGTGCGACTGCTCGGTTGCAGGGAAGGTCATGGAGTCTATGGGTCTTTACCTTGCCCTGCCCAAGGATCGTCTGTCCGCGAAGAAGCGGACTTGAGTGCGTATCGCGTAGCATGTGTGTAGCTTGTCCACCCTGCTTGAGTTCTACTCGCGGTGGATTATGCAGGGCTTGCAGACCTGTGTGCATGAAGGATATCGTGTGGGAGTGTTATAGCGTGAGAATAATGGTGTTGACATTTGGAAAAATGTCTGAAACATGACTATTGCGGATCGGGCACCCACAAAACAAGCTCGTCCGGTCGATTTGTAAAAAAACGTGTGGAAGTACTTTCCGTTTCCATACATTGCGGGTGCTGGTTCTTTCATCGCGAGCAGCAGCCCAAAACACACGATACCAATGTGTGTCATACTAGTGTAACGTGATCGACATAGGGTGTGGAGCGGGGGGGGGGGGGGGGGGGGGGGGGGGGAGGGGGATTCACAATGTTCTACCACCTCATTTAATCTAGCGGTGGCATTTGTGCACAGTACTGAGGCCACGCGAACGTGAACTCAGACGCGGGAAGCGAGGCATCGATGAGGCGGTCGCGTACAAGCATCCATTTAACACGCAACTGCACCTCCACCGGAGAACCCTTCTTGAGCTGGCTCAGGTCCAGGTCAACACTCTTCTTCTTTACCGCGATCCCTTCCGATGCACCCGACATGCCCACAGCTCCTGACACGAGGTCGAGCTTGTCGAGCACTACCGCGATGTTGTCTCCTTGCTCCACGCTGTGGGCGATGAAGTCCATGACTCGCTTGACACGGTTTATCGCGTTCTGGCCGCCTCCCTCCTTCCCAATGAGTTCGGCCAATCACGTAACTGCATCGTGGGGCTGGGCCAGAAGCGACTCTGGACTCTCGCGGATCGGCGGGTGCGTGGTTTTGTACATCTTCCATCCGTCTGACGGTTTGGTCGCGTTGACCCATGGGAGGACGATCGCGTTCCGAATCGTCTGTTCCCTGGTGGGCGGTGCGGTTTTCTTCCGCGTCCCTTGGTCAGTGGGAGTGGTGGCATTGGTAGGCGCGGACGCGGCTCTAGGAGTGTTTGCCGGGCTTGGATCCGCGGTCGGACCTGAGCTGCTAACGGTGAGACGCGACAGCTGGGCCTCCAAATCATTCACGCGCTCGTTCTTCGAGGCCAGCTGTCGGTCGCGTTCCTCCAACTGACCCTCCAGCTCTTTCACCCGCTTCTGGGTCGCGACCAAATCTAGGCCCAGCCTGGTGTTGTCCTCTTGCGAACGAGTCAGATACTTCGTGAGAACGGTCACCTGGTTCTGCGCGTCCATCCTGGTACTGACCTCCTGCATGGACAGAACGCGACCGCGGACTTGTGATGGTTTGGCATTGACATTACAGCCGAATAAATAGCGCGACCATGCAATACTCACCGCGCCCTTGGTCAGTGTAGGTATGTTACACTGTACTATGGCCAGTTGATTTACGAAGGAGACATCTGCAGCCCACGACGCAAATTCCTCCATCTGGCAGAGCGGTTATTGACCACGAACGGGTGTCGCGGCTGGTGAATGTAGTACATGGCCAGGTCTTGCGCGACCGCCATCCTAGCCTCCCCATCCAGCTCCTTCAGTATGTTTAGACCCGCGGTGTCCTGTTTCTCCGCCTTGTCCTCTTTGACCATCTTCCGGTTGTAATCTTTGCACTGTGTCAACACAACAACGCGGTAGTGAACGCGGTGGCAGAGGGTTATGTTAAACGCTCGCGGTAGGGTTGAAGGTATAGTTTGCGACCCACACATACCTGTTTTTGTCCTTTGTCCGGGGCGGTCCAGGGGAAAATGTGCTTCCTCAACAGCTTCTCCAGCTCCTCGCTCACCGGAACAGTTGCGCGACCTAGGAAGTAGTCACCGTCAACCCCTGTGAGGCCAGCCTTCAGCAACACGGCCTCCCTCGGAATAGTTGTGAGGTAGTGCTTAGTCATCACGTCGATGAAGCACCAACGCCCCAGTTTCGCCAACTGATCCGAAGGCATTCCGTCCGCGGACACGTGCTACGCCCCACCAGCCCTGGTCGCGTGAACCACACGCGAGCATGTAATTCGCGCGTCATCCAGAATGACAGAGTGTGATGACCGAGCACGGTCATCGTCCGGATGCAGAGATCGCGATGCAGAGCCTGCGTATAGGATTTATTGGCTAGTGTGAAGCTGCTCAAGATGGCGGCCATGCTGGTCTTCCGCATCATGTGCTTGAACTCGTCCGGGGTGTACGTGTCCGCGGCCGTGCCCCGATGGCGATCCATGTGTTCCCTGCGCAACCAGTTGGACGATTGTGCCAGTGTTAGTGGACGCGGTTTGCTGGACGTTGAACGCGGTGCGTGGGTGCTGATACTTACGCGATAAACCGCTTGTACTGGTCGCGTACTTGAACGCGGACCCAGATGCGACACTCCGCAAAGTCGCGCAGCAGGTTCAGAACGGGTTTTCGGAAGATGGCCCCATCCAGCTTGATGAGCAGGTTCAGAGCCTTGAGACGCCCCATCAGCATTGCAGGGGTGCATTGGCGTCTCTTTTTCAATGTCTTGTCGGGCCGCTTGAGTGTTGCCATCCTGTCCGCCTGTGCGACCGTCTCGTTCGCGAGGAAGGTCACGTATTTGCGTAAGCGCCACAGATTTGTTTCAGTGCCGTGTAACCACTGCTCGTCGCCCTTCGCCATCTTCCAACTACCACCCATGTTCTATTCGAGCGCAGCCCCGATCTCGACTGGGTTCGCGTTTTTCAATGCGGCCTCCTCCCCGAACCTACCCCCGTCCAGTTTTGGCAGCTCGTGCGCCATGAACCGCTTGTACTCGTTGGCCCAACCGTGATTCTTCTTCAGCATGGCCTCGGATAGACCGTAGAGGATTCCCATGCACATCTCTCTTTTCGTGGCAGGTGTGTCATCCACACCAAGCCGGTTCCAATCCGCGATCGGGACCTCGTTGTCCGTCCGCGTTCCCCTCACCTGTTCCATGTCTTTCGCCTCCCCCTCATGGAGCGCGGACAACGAGTTAGCTAGGTCCACCCGTCGCCGCTATCGCTGTCATCATCATCGTCGTCGACGTCCTCATCGCTCAGCCCCTCGCCCCCCTCCCCGGTCCCGTTGCGCTTGGTGTGCGGCACTACATCAACTCTCCGCCTCCTAATACACGGCCTATTAGCAGGCTGGTTCGCGGCACCGCCGTTCGCGTTACTACCGTTCCTTCGCGCACCGGTTCCAGTCCCACCAGGAGCGCTCCCCCCGTTAGCACTACCCCCGGCCCCTCTCCCACTGGCCCCTCTTCCCCAGGCACCTCTCCCACCGTGTCCTCTCGCACCTATCCCTCTCCCCGTGGTCCCACCCCCCGCCTTCCATTTACCCGCGTTCCCTCTCGCACCGGTCCCCCTCCCCGTGGTCCCACCCCCCACGTTCCCTCTACCCGCGTTCCCTCTCGCACCGGTCCCTCTCCCCTCGTTCCCTATCGCACCGGGCCCTCTCCCCACGTTCCCTCTTGCGCCGGTCCCTCTCCCCGCATTCATCGCGTTCGACTGTGGTTGCATACCTCTACCGGGGGTGCTGATGTGGACGTCCGGGTTCCCTGGCAACAGCGAGTTCACGTTCCATATCGGAGGCAATTGGCACGCGCGATTGCATTCATCCCTGCTTCACCAGTCACCGCACGTCCTATCACCTCCGCACCCGCGATCATTGACAGGCCGTCTGGTCGCGCGTGTGTGTCCACACCGGCCTCCGATGGACCTATACGATCTGGAGGCCCCGTTGGTGGGATATCCGCGTGAATCGGGTTAGGAAACGGGGTTGCGGGGGCGACTGGAGGCGTCGCGACATTTGCAGGTGCGTGCACCACGGGGTCTGGCTGAACGCCGATGTACCCGTACCTGAACCCGTAATTCGCGTATTGCGGCCCGACGTAGCCCTGTACGGGCATCCCAAAGGGCTAGCTTGTCGGCCCGGACGCCGGAGACGGGTTGTGTCCGTCAGTCTCTGTTCCGGGATGAGGCGTGAATACTCCGTGCGTCCACTGGTCATCCCGTTGCATCTGAAACGCGAACGAGGCCCAAGCAAGTGGAATCTGTGAGCGTGGTGCGAGTTGAATCCCGTTGATCAGTTGTTGTGGGTGGAACGCGGGCAATCGTGACCCAAAAACTACAGGCACGTAGGGGGTGCTCCAGGTGGGATTGAGCGCGGGCATGCTTGGCACGGGAGCGCTAGCTACGTCCGCATTGTGCATTATCGGCCCGGGCGTACTGCCAGATGCATTAGTGGAGTCGTGAATTAGCGTCGTCGCGACGCAATTAACAGTATGCATGCACCGTACGCGACTACCCCTACTCCTACCTAACGCACGCGTCAACATGATGCGAGGTCTACGTGTACATCCGGGAATGGACTGTCCTCACGCGTGTGTTATCGGTTCGTGATGAGCATCGCGGCCAGGGAGCCCACTAACACTGAAGCGCGGCCCAACTTGTGACCGCGACACAAGATGCCCATTTCCCGCCTAAGTCATCTAAATTCAATGGGTTCAAGAGAGGGCGTAGCTTGGTGTGCAACTAGCGAGCATAAAGCGCTATTGTGGCCATGCTGGGTGTAATGACCGGCCACGGCAAAGACGTGCTTGACACATCTCCGCGTTCGCGTCTCGACCAAACAGCGACACCTGTGTGTGACGCTCAATTTGCTGCATGTGTCAGTCAGCATGGTGCCTGTCAGATCGCGCCAGGTGTCTTAGAACCAACACTCGCAGTGCGCTCACCAAACCTATCCTTGTGCGAATTTTGTTTGCGACATGCTTCGAGACATCTCGGCCAATCATGACACTCCGTGTGTTTCGCGAACGCGCATTTGCATGCGCGCGGATTCCCACTTGACTGTGATGCGACTAATCGCATGCGTTTTTTACAGAGTTGCGCATGCATTGGCGCGTAAGAACGAGGTGGGTTCTTTCGGTTTTTGGGGTGTCGCGGAGCTTTCGGTGGTAGCCTGGTGGGTTTCACTAAGCCACGCAGGGCCGCGCAAGGTCCAAAACTGGTGGGATCCTGGTGGGCCGACTTCGGCCCACGCCTCCCGCAATAGCTCCGCGCCCCGTACATCCCCAGGCGTGGGCGGGGTTTTTCCCGAGCCGCGCCGTATGAACATCCCAGGAAACGCGAATCCAGCCCAATTTCGTGCTGACGGGTGGTTTGGAGGAGGGTCCGCGGAAGGGCGGGAAACAACATGGGGAGTTCGGTTTCGTGCGGAAAGAACCCCAACCCCCTCTCTCCACCCCTCTCAACCGTTAGTTTTGCAGGTAAGGGGGCCGAGTCCAAAAACTGGTCACCCTGTTTTCAAGTGATAATCCCAGGCCTCCCGCTCGAAGTATGTAGGCCGCAGCTACCTCGGAATGGCCGTGGAATCACGAACCAGAGGAGGAACCTCCCGAATAGGTGTGGAGGGAATGGCCAAATCGCGAAATTTCGCGCTAGAAAGCGGAAGGGTGGCAACGGGATCAAGAACCACCATCCCCACCTTCCAATTCCCCATCCCCACCCTCCACATCCTTCCAATCCCATGGCCATTCCAAGGCAATTCTGCTTGGGGGGGTGAATGGCGATGGAATGGCAACGAGACCAACGTTTGCCTGTAGAGGAAGCTCCCGACCCACTTTCCTACCTTCAAGATTCCATTCGAGTGAAAAGTGTGATCTGTAAAAGCCCAACCCGACGTTAGGTATGGTTGGCTGGTTCTCAAAATCAACTGTAGAGTGTTTGCGAAGGTGTTGGGAAAGAAAATTTCGGAAAGTGTTTTTTTGAACGAGTTTGCACTATTCCAATGCAAATACATTCACATTCGTAACTGAATTCCAGAGGGAACCTTGCTAACCATAGTCTAAAGACTCCGGCGCCGCCCCCCTGTACCTGCCTACGGTGGACGATGGAAGGTCTTGGGGTTCTGCCATATGGATAGGAAGTCTATCTTCCACGTGGCCTGCTCACCTGCCTCACAGATCCTCGTGATCGCCGCTCGTTTGTCTCCTGCCAAGCCCCCCCACGGGTCTCGCAGTTGGCCTTTCACCCCCCCTCCTGCTGCTTTTCTCAACTTTTCCGCCCTGTAGAGCCTCGTGTGCTGCATGAATTTTGTCATACTTTCCTTGCAGTGCCCTCATCCACTCTCTCCTTGCATTGCGTTGCCTTTGGCTGCTCAAGAGCGTGCTGCCGGAGGCACGCTGTCATTGGCCTGGCTTCCGTGGGGCGGGAGGGGGGAGGGGGGCAGGAGGCAGTTGCCACGTGGGTGCCGGGAAGACTGCGCAGGGGCTGTACGCACATGCATGGGGCACACAGGCTGATGGAGATATGGTGGGGATATGATGGGGATATGATGGGGATATGAGAGCAATGATGGGGTGATGCGGATATGATGGGGATATGAGAGCAATGATGGGCTGATGGGGATATGATGGGGATATGAGAGCAATGATGGGCTGATGGGGATATGAGAGCAATGATGGGCCAATGGGGATATGAGAGCAATGATGGGCTGATGGGGTTATGATGGGGATATGAGAGCAATGATGGGCTGATGGGGATATGAGAGCAATGATGGGCTGATGAGGTTATGATGGGGTCAGAGCTGGGCAATCGCAGCCATGCCCCCACGGCCATCTCATTCCCACGCCGTCTCACTCCCACCACCATCTCTGCCATGCAGGAAATGAATTCTGCTAGGGCAAAAAGAGGTTCACCAGGCATGTTGCATCCAAGACTTGCTACAGTCCAATCCCTAGTCAATGCAGGCAGTTATGGTTCTTTGCCACTTCGTCTATGATACGGTATGCGGTGATATATGTAAGTTGCGCAATTTCAACGCACTAGATAAGTTTGCATTTGTTGTAGCATGTGAATGACTACCCGCGATGGTAGAGTCTGCAGAGAAATCAAAGTTTTACCTAAAACTCGGTTTATTACTTTGAGTTGCATAAGGAAATATAGTTTGTTACTGTAGGCTTTCAAAGGCTTGTATGTTACGAGGAGTTCGCTTCAACCGGTTCGGCCTGTAATTTTGGCCCGAACCACTTCCGAATCGCCACCGCACCTTTCGCCATCTTTCGAGCCTGGTTTACCCTGCGATTCTCGTCTAGCTCGGCTTTGCCTATATTTCCCCCCTCCTAGACTTTCCTAGGCCATTCGGTTCTGTAGTTTTCTAGTCTGTAAGCTCCTATCAGTTGGTTACGCCACCATCCAGCAAGCATCGCCATGGGCTAGGTTGTGTAGGAGTAAGCACCCACGTTCAAGATGGGGAAGTGAGGGAAACAATGGTATGTCAGGTAGTTACTCGATAGACGTTGCGTCGAAGCGACGAACAGGGGGCGATACTATATTGGCAATCGAAAGAGGTTTGGAGCTTTAAGTAGTAGTGATATTGCTACAGCGTCAGAGCGATCGACAGGCAACGAACAGAGCGCGACGTACGGCGATGAGAGAGCAAAGGACTATTACACGATGGACGGTCCGCGACAGAGAACGTGACGGACTGCGATGAAAGATCGACGAACGGCGGCGACGAAACTGTGAGCGACTTGTCAAACTCATATGCTATAGTCTGTGTAGGCTGTAGTGGGGTAGGCAATATGGGGTACAACACTTTTAGGTTTTCCTACTTGTACCCACCTGCTTGCTAGTTCATTCATTCCTCGTTCTTTCACATGGTATAGAGCAGGTTCCCTAGTGGGAACGTTTCCTAGGGCCCACCGAATATCGTTCTGCCCGGAGCGCGCTTCGCCCCTGCCCGAGTCGCGCCCCATGTGCCTACCCTCCCGTCGCGTCCCCTGCCCTTAGTAGCCCGTCGCGCTCCCCTACGGCCCCGTAGCGGCCCCTCTCACGGCCTCTCACGGCCCCTCTCACGGCCCTTCGCGGCCCCTTCAGGCCCCTCGTGGCCCCTTTGCGGCCTCCCTTCGCGGCCCCTTCGCGGCCCCTTCACGGCCCCTTCGCGGCCCCTTCACGGCCCCTTCGCGGCACCTTCACGGCCCCCTCGCGGCCCCTTCACAGCCCCGTTGCGGCCCCTTCGCGGCCCCTTTGTGGCCCCCCCTCACGGCTCCCTTCGCGGCCCCTTCACGGCCCCCTCGCGGCCCCCCTCGCGGCCCCTTTGCGGCCCCCCCTCACGGCTCCCTTCACGGCCCCTTCGCGACCTCGCCCCGTCGCCAGTCGCGGCCCCGCCGCGTCGCCCTTGCCTCGTCGCGTCGCCCCTGCGGGACCCGTGAGGCGCGGCTCCTGTGCGTCGCGACACCCCTGCAGGACCCGCGTGGCGTCTCCCCTGCCCGCCCCGGCGTCCTGCCCTAACCCGCCCCTGGAGCAGCCCCCACTGCAGCAGCCGCCCCTGGAGCAGCCACCCCTGCAGCAGCCGCCCCTGGGGCAGCCGCCCTTGCAGCAGCCGCCTCTGGAGCAGCCGCCACTGTAGCAGCCGCCCCTGGAGCAGCCGCCACTGCAGCAGCCGTCCCTAGAGCAGCCGCCACTGCAGCAGCCGCCCCTGGAGCAGCCGCCCCTGGAGCAGCCGCCCCTGCAGCAGCCGCCACTGCAGCAGCCGCCCCTGGAACAGCCGCCCCTGCAGCAGCCGCCCCTGGCCCAGCCGCCCCTGCAGCAGCCGCCCTGGAGCAGCCACCCCTGCAGCAGCCGCCTCTGGGCCAGCCGCCACTGCAGCAGCCGCCCCTGGAGTAGCCGCCCCTGCAGCAGCCGCCCCTGGAGCAGCCGCCCCTGGAGCAGCCGCCCCTACAACTGCCACCGCTGGAGCAGCCGCCCCTGCAGCAGCCGCCCCTGGAGCAGCCGCCCCTGGAGCAGCCGCCCCTACAACTGCCACCGCTGGAGCAGCCGCCCCTGCAGCTGCCGCGGAGCCCTCGCCCTACAGTGGTAGCGGCCTCGCCGTTGCCGCCGTCGTACGCCTGCCCTTCTCGCCACTAGTGAGCACTGCCCTGCCCGTACTGCTGTTACTGCTACTCTTGCTACTACTGCTCTTTCTACTGCTACTGCTGCTCCTAGCGTGGCCAGATGCAGCTCCAGCGTCGTCCGCGTGAGTCCCTCACCCCCCAACAGCTTCGTGAGTGGTACGCTAGTTGGGGTTATAGGGGTGGCCGTGCTGCGACTACTGCTATTGCTACTGCGGCTATCACTGCTCCTGCTGCTCCTGGCAGTGGCCAGATGCAGCTCCAGCGACGTCCGCGTGAGTCCCTCACGCCCTAACAGCTTCGTGAGTGGTACGCTACTTGGGGTTGTCGGGGTGGCCGTAGTGGGAGTCGTCCTGGAGTGAGTAGTTTGGCAGCTGCTTGTAGTGGCCAGGTGCAGCTGTAGCGTCGTCCGTGCGCGGTCCTTTCGCCCCAGCAGCTTCGTGAGTGGTACGCTGAGCGTGACGGGTCATGGGGTACTGCTCGCTGTCCGTACGTCATTCGCACTGGTGCTCGGACTGGTCAGCCTTCCGGGACATTTGGTCACGCAGAGTCCCGCTGCTTCGCCCGTCTGAGCGACGCCTTGGGTACGGAGTTTGGTGACGCGGCTGAGCTCCCCGACTGGGTGGAGCTTCTTAGGCTGCGGGTAGATGTCTATACTCTTGACTATGATGCTATCTTCACTGCCATGTATGCATTGCCTACTAGTGATGAGGGTGACTGTTACCTGTGTGTTCCGCCTGACCCGGGCATTGAGGCTTCTGCTCTAGGTGCTGGTGAGGCTGCTGCTCTAGGTGCTAGTGCGTCTGCTGCCCTAGGTGCTGGTGAGTCTGCTCTCTCAGGTACCACGTCGGCTCAGGCCTTACACACCTTCACCCTTGACTCGGGTGCTTCCCGCTCCTTCTTTCGAGACCGCACCACGCTTACGCCGCTTAGTCGGCCGGTTGCGGTCTCCCCGGCGGACCCCTCTGGGGGTCCTGTCCTTGCTAGCTTCTCCACTGTCTTACCATGCCTTGCAGCCCCCTATGGCACCCTGTCAGGTCTCTACCTCCCCTCGTTCTCTACGAACTTGGTGAGTGGTGCTGATCTACAGGATCGGGAGGTTGACTAGTTCACTCCTGCGAGTCAGCGGGTGACCCACTATACGTGTGCTCGCATGGGCCAACACTTGGTCACGTTTACCCGTCGGCCGGGGTCAAGCCTGTACACACTGACTACTGAGTCTCCTGCGGTTGATGCGTCTGGTCAGGTAGCTAAGTCGAGTCAGGTGTTTGCTGCAGCGTCCAGGTCTGGTCCTGAGTCTGCTCCCTGCTCGTGTCGTCTCCTGTCCCACCAGACTCTCCTTTGGCACCACCGCCTTGGTCACCCCTCCCTGCCTCGTCTCCGAGGCATGGCCTCCCGTGTCCTTGTCTCTGGTCTCCCCCGGTCCCTCCCTCCCCTCCCTCCGGGGCCTGCCCCTACCTGCGTTCCCTGCATCGAGGGGCGGCAGCGCGTCGCCCCTCACTCCTCCGAGTCTCCTCCGATAGAGGCTGCCCTCCAGACTCTTCACATGAACGTGTGGGGCCCCGCCCGCGTCCGTGGCCAGGGTCACGAGCATTACTTCCTGTTGGTGGTTGACGACTACTCGCGTTACACCACGGTGTTCCCCTTGCGCAGCAAGGGTGACGTCACTAAGGTGTTGATCGACTGGATCCGCGCGGCTCGTCTCCAGCTCAGAGAGAGTTTCGGCTCGGACTTTCCAGTTCTGCGTCTGCACTCTGATAGAGGCAGGGAGTTTTCCTCTGCCCGTCTGGGAGCCTTCTGTCGTGCACAGGGCATCCGCCAGACCTTCACGCTTCCGACCTCTCCACAGCAAAATGGGAATGCTGAGCGCCGCATTGGCATGGTCATGGACGTCGCTCGTACGTCCATGATCCATGCGGCTGCTCCCCATTTTCTGTGGCCGTTTGCGGTTCAGTACGCAGCACATCAGCTCAACCTTCAGCCCCGGGTCTCCTTGCCAGAGACCTCCCCCACCTTGCGATGGACGGGGAAGGTTGGCGATGCGTCTGCGTTTCGGGTCTGGGGATCTCAGGCGTTTGTCCGCGACTTGTCTGCGGACAAGCTGCCCCCCCGTGCTGTTCCCTGCGTCTTCCTTGGCTTCCCCCCTGACGCGCCTGGTTGGCAGTTTTACCACCCCACCTCGCGCCGTGTTCTGTCCTCCCAGGACGTCACCTTTGATGAGTCGGTGCCTTACTACCGTCTCTTCCCCTACCGCACTGCGCCCCTCCCCCCGCCGCCGCTCTTCCTTGCGCCAGGTCCTCCCCTGGTAGTCCCTCTCCCCCCTCGGGGTCCTGCCCCGTCAGGTGTGTCCCAGGTAGACGCAGTCAAGCCTGTCGAGGTAGCTGTTGTCAACACCTGACTCGACGCAGCTACCTGACCAGACGCAGCAGCCGGAGGAGACTCAGTAGTAACTGTGTACAGGCTCGACCCTTGCCGACGGTTGAACGTGGCCAAGTGTCGGCCTGTCCGAGCACACGTGCAGTGGGTCACCCGCTGACTCGCAAGAGTGAACTGGTCAACCCCCCTATCCTGTAGGTCAGCTCCACTCACCAAGTTCGTAGAGAACGAGGGGAGGTAGAGACCTGACAGGGTGCCAGAGGGGGCTGCTGGGCACGGTAAGACAGTGGAGAAGCTAGCAAGGACAGGACCCCCAGAGCGGTCCGCCAGGGAGACCGCAACCGGCCGACTAAGCGGCGTAAGCGTGGTGCGGTCGCGAAAGAAGGAGCGGGAAGCACCCGAGTCAACGGTGAAGGTGTGTAAGGCCTGAGCCGACGTAGTACCTGAGAGAGCAGACTCACCAGCACCTGGGGCAGCAGACGCACTAGCACCTGGGGCAGGAGCCTCACCAGCACCTAGAGCAGCAGCCTGAATGCTCGGGTCAGGCGGAACACACAGGTAACACTCACCCTCATCACTAATAGTCACAGCATACATGGCAGCAAGAATAGCATCATAGTCAAGATCAAAGATGGCCACCCCCGCCCTAGACAGATCTCCCCAGCGAGGGATCTCTGACGCCTCAGGGAACTAGTGACGCCACGCGTCCGTTAGGCGGCCAAAGCAGCGTTGGGTGGAGTGCGGGCCCCCGCACTGCTCACCAACGCGGTCGCCGGTACGGAGAACGTAAGTGTAGGGACCAGTACCCCCACTGCGCTGACGCGCAGCGTACCACTCACGAAGCTGCTGAGGGGACCGGGTCTCACGACTGCGCTGCTGCTGCTGGCGCGGACCACCACCAGACCCACTCCTCTGCGTAGAGTCGCGAGCAGCTCCACCGCCGCCGCCGCCGCCTCCGCCACCTCCGCCACTTCCGCTCCCTCCGCCACCACCGCCGCCTCCTCCGCCTCCACTGCTGCCACCGCCGCCGCCACCCCCGCCACCACTCCCACCACCACCCCCACCCCCTCCACTGCCTCCACCGCCACCTCCACCGCCCCTGCTAGCCCCTCCAGCTCCCTTGCCCCCCTTGCCCTTGCCGGTGCGGCGCCTCTCGCTAGGGGCAGACGCAGCGCCGACCCCGTAGAAACCAACGAGGTCGGCAGCAGCAGTAGAAGCAACAAAGGGCAAGAGGGGGGAAGGGGAACACCCCTCAAAGACGGGGGTGCGAGGGTCACCACGAGAGGCTCCTACAGCTACTATTCTCTTCTCTGCTGCTAGGAGGCGCTCCTCGAGGAGGTCAGCGGTGAGAGTGGTGGGGCAAACTGAGAGAATGTGGTCCCTTACTAAGCGAAGAGAGTCAGGGAGCCAGGTGACTATGTAGTAGAGGGTGATGTACATGGGGGGGGGGTTCTTGGCCCAGAACTCAGCAGGGAGCGCAACGCGGTAGTGAGTGTCACTAGTGCGGAGGTGCGTAATGAGGTCAGCGATTGTGGGAAAGGCAGCAAGGTCAGGGAAGAGGTACGGTAGCATGAGGTGGCTCAGTGCAGCTACAACGTCGTACAATGTCTGAGCACTCTTGTACTGGCTAAAGTGTGCACGCTAAGTGGTTGGTAAGTGGCGACGCACAGCAAGACGGGCAGCAGCATCGCGTGTCGCCCACTGTGAGCAAACAGTGCTGTCAGCAGTAGCAGGCGAGGCAGGGGAGGCACCAGAGGTGAGGTCGAACAGAGAGAGGTCGTCTGTCCTATCGCACTGGAGGAACAGCTGGATGTCATCGACCCAGACCTCAAAGTCAACAGCACGACCCTCAGTGTCAAAGGTAAGAACACTGGGGGTAGCCATGACTGCAGAGGTCTAGCAAGGAGTGAGCTCACCAGTACGTGTAAGTAGGGCCGGGGCGCGCTGGTAGGACTGGTAGCGCCTCGACGGCAGGGCGGCTCGGCGGCTCAGCTGCTGGACGGCTCGGCTATCGGGCGGCTCGGCGGCTCGGCTGCTGGGCGGCTCGACGGTCGGGCGGCCCGGCGGTTCGGCTGCTGGGCGGCTCGGCTGTCAGGCGGCTCGGCGGCTAGGCGGCTCGGCTACTCTGCTGCTGGGCGGCTCGGCGGCTCTGCTGCTAGGCTGCTTGGTAGAGGCGGCGTTGGGGCCGCTAGGGGCAGCGACAGGGCCGCTTAGGGAGGGGAGCGGAGACGGGGCCGTGTAGTGGCGGCGACGGGGCCGCGTAGGAAGGGGGGGCGGCGACGGGGCCGCTAGGGGCGGCGATAGGGCCGCGTAGAGGCGGCGTCGGGGCCGCTTAGAGGCGGCGACGGGGCCGCTTAGGAGCGGCAACGGGGCCGCTTAGGGGCGGGCGGCGACGGGGTCGCGTAGGGTGGGAGGCGGCAACGGGGCCGCTGGGGGCGGCGACGGGGCCGCTATGGGCGGCGACGGGGCCGCGTAGGGTGAGAGGCGGCGACGGGGCCGATAGGGGCGGCGACGGGGCCGCTAGGGGCGGCGACGGGGCCGCGTAGGGGTGGCGACGGGGCCGCGTAGGGGCGGGGACTGGGCCGCGTAGGGTAAGAGGCGGCGACGGGCCGCTAGGGGCGGCGACGGGGCCGCTAGGGGCGGCGACGGGGCCGCGTAGGGGCGTCGACGGGGCCGCGTAGGGGCGGCGACGGGGCCGCGTAGGATAAGAGGCGGCGACGGGGCCGCTAGGGGCGGCAACGAGGCCGCGTGGAGGGCGGCAACTAGGCCGCTAGGGGCCACTAGGGGACTGGAAAGGGCGGCAAAAAAGGCGCGCCTCGGGCAGGAGCGATTGGCGCTTCGGTCAGAGAGGAAAATTTCAGTGGTGGGCCCAAGGAAGCGTTCCCACTAGGGAACCTGCTCTATACCATGTGAAGAATGAGGAATGAATGAACTAGCAAGCAAGTGAGTACAAGTAGGAAAACCTAGAAGTGTTGTACCCCATATTGTCTACCCCACTACAGCCTACACAGACTATAGCATATGAGTTTGACATACCTGTGGGCTGCTGCAGTTGCCGAGAACGACCTCGCCTTCAACGTCAGCAAGTCAAAGTCGATCCAGGCCTTCGTTGACGCGGTGATCGTGTATGCTAAACCGTACACCCTCCCCACCCCATACAAGGTGTCCAGCCCGTTGCTCGAGAAGCTGAAGGCGGGCTCGGAGGACCTTGTGCGGCCGCTAACGGACAGCTCGAAGACAAGCGGGTGCACGCTCTCCATCGATGGGTGGACATGCATCGAATCCTGCGGTTTGGTGTGTGTAATCGCGCTTAATGACACTGCACCCGTCATCATCGACATCGTCGATTCGAAGACCGCGAAAAAAACCAGGGACTGCTTGGCGGGTCTAATTGAGGGAGCGATCAAGACGGTGGGGCCGAAGCATGTCGTCCAAGTCGTGATGGACAACGCTTCGAAGAACAAGAACGCCGCCAACAAGCTACGCCTGGAGTATCCGCATATCTTCTTCACCAACTGCGCCGCCCACTGCCTAGATCTCATGTTGCACGACATCGGCAAAATCCCTGCTATAAAGCACGTCCTTGCGCTGGTGCACAGCGTAGTGATGATGATCAAAGGCTCCGCTTCAGCCGTCGTGTTGTTCCGTGAGCTTTTTACCAAGCTCTCGTTGGTGCGGCTGGGTGCAACGAGATTCGGCACCCAGGTCATCATGCTCGGCAGGTTCCTGGAGGTGAAGCGCGCGTTAAGAGTGATAGTAATCAGCGACCGAGGGGAGGGCAGGCTGGGCTCTCACAATGCCCGTTGGGCAGCAACGACCTTGGTGGAGGCGGGGCGCATGATGGATGCGGAATGGTGGTTCCTGTTTGGTAGGGATGTGCATGCGCCCCAAGGCTTGGCTGTGACGTCACTCTCACAGCCAGTCACCTCCTCCAAGGTGGAGCGCTATTGGTCAGCGCTGGCACGGCGAAAGGCAGCGCTGAGCTCCAAGCTCTATTCGGACCTGGGCAACGGCACCCTCAGAGAGGCTGCCATCAACCCGGCCGAAGTGGAGGAGGAGGAAGGGGATGCTGAAGAGGAGGGACAAGTGGAGGAGGAGGAATACACCATTGATTGGTCGGAATTTGGAAGCATCGGCAAGAAGAGGAAAGGGAAGGCGGGTGAGTCATCTAAAGGGAAGAAGAAGGGGAAGGGCAACGGTGCATGCAGTGGAGAGGGGAAAGGAAAAGCACGGGATGCGGAAGAGGAAAGAGGAGGCGGAAGACAGCGGTGGGGAGGAGGAAGAGCCTGCCCACAATCCCAAGGGACGATATGCATATGCCTGGGATTGCAGCGACGGTTCAAGTGGGGAGGAGGAAGAGGAGGACAAGGACAAAGAAGAGTATGAGTTGAGAGTAGTGAAGGGACCTCCACATGCCACGGTTGCAGCGACGGTTTGAGTGGGGAGGAGGAAGAGAAGGACCAGGTGCTGGAGTAGGAAGAATATAAGGGAGGTTGAGTATAGTGGGGATGGATTAGGGAGGAAGGGAGAGGCCCTAGGCAGGGACTTGCCTAGGTAGGCATGCATGCATGCATAGTAAGGGTAGCGACATTAGCAGAAGACCTTTGCAGGCCTATTTCTCCTTAGAGTAGGTTGTTATTGCCTTCCTAGTCATTGTTGTAGCAATTTTAGTAGATTCTGGAAAAAATCCCGTGACAAGAAATGGCCAACAAAAAAACGGCCGAAAGTTTGCCAAACACACCGTACCATCGAAAAAAACGGCCCGTATAATACAATAGCCGTATTTTTTATCCTTGCTGCTGAGGAACGAGCATGACAGATGGGGGGGGAGAAGAAGGGGGGTATAATCAGACAAATGGATTTTCTCCACGGTGAGACACGTGTGAGAGAGACTCTGAGGGCTTGCTGTGGTTTCAGGGGGTTCGTGAGAGTCTCTCAAGGCCACCCTCCCTTTCATTTCGCCGTTCCCCTCGTTTATTGCCCCTCCTGACCTGCTCTGTTTTTTGCTCCGGTTTGCTTCGCACACTCATTCGCACCCACTGGCATCCACTCGCACATGTACAATGCTTACAAGGCCACCGTTTTTTACCCTTAATTTACCCCCTCCTTTACCCTTACTACCCTCCCCCGTTCACTGACCCCCCTCCTCTCCCCTCCCATACCCTTAACCCCCCCCCTTCACTTTCCCGTCGCTTTAACCATCCCTCTTCCATTACCCCATTCCCCTTCACTCGCCTTCCCTTATTGTATCTCTTCCCGTCCCTTTACCATCTCCCACTACGCGTACCCCGCTTCCCCTTCTTCTTACCCACTCCCGTCCTCATAACCCTCCACTCCCTTTACTTTCTTCTCCCTTTGCCCTCTTCCCCTTACCTCCTTCCCGTTTCCATTATCCCACCCCTCCCCGTTCCATTCCCCTTCTTTTCTTATCACTCACTAGTCAGTCACTGGTCAGTCGCTGGTCAGTCATTGGTCATTCTCAGGTCACTTGAAGTCATTCTAATGTTTATCAGGTCAGTCTCAGGTCAGTCTCAGGTCAGTCTCAGGTCATTCTCTGGTCAGTCTCAGGTCCGTCTCAGGTCATTTTCAGGTCAGTCTCAGCTCAGTCTTAGGTCAGTCTCAGGTCATTCACAGGTCCGCCAGTTGAATGCTCTCTTCATGGAGAACCCATGACTGCTGGGGTGTGCATTGATTTCTGGCCCATAAGACCCCCCCGCCTGAGTGTACTATTTACGGGACATATGTGCTGCTGAGCGCGCGCGCAGGCGATTGCGAGCAAGAGCTAGAAGGGCAACAGTGACCTGTCAGTAGTGGCTCAATAACCATCGCATTAAACGATAGACAGGCGATTAGAGAGCGACTGACGGCATTGAATTAGGACTGTTGACAACGGAGAAATACGAGAGAGAGAGAAAGAAAGGAGAACCCATTCGCGATGGCAGAAAGCCGCGACGGCAGAAGTACGAGGAGCAGCAGCAATGTCGGATGGGGCAAGCACCCGGGCTCCCAGTGGCGGCAATAGCAGAGGCAGTAGGAGCGGCAAAAATAGCAGCATCGTTGCGAGCAACACAGGCTGAAGCGGCGGCGGCGACGCGACGAGGCCGTGAAAGCTTGCCCCGGTCGCCGCTGCCGCTGCCACCGCCACCGCCATCACCAGCGTTGTGCGCGCGCCTCTACTGCCGCCTCCGCGAGAGTCCGCGCCATTGCATGCTAGTGGGACGGTTTGCGCAGATGGGGGCAGTGGCGACGGGCGGCCACGTGGAAGGGAAAGGGGTGGCGGAGCAGGGAGGGGAGGCGCAGGGAGGGGAAGGGGAAGCGGGGATGCGAGGCGAGGGGTAGGAGAAGGGGGGGCAGGGGGCGGAGCAGGAGGGCAGAGGTGGGGAGAAGGGGCAGGTGAAGAAGTGGGGACAGGCGGGAGGAGGGACAAGGGGTGCGTACGCGAAGGCAAGAGGGGAGAAAGGAAGGAGAGACTGGAGGGGAGAAGGGGCAAGCAGGGGAGGAGAAGGAATTGGCGGTGAAGGTAGGAGAGGTGAAGGGAGGGGAAGAGAAGAGAGGGCAAGAAGGCAGCGCGCGCGGAGAAAAGTCAAAACTCAGCCGACCACTTACATTGGTGTGGAGGCATGCAGCAGGTGAGGCATGTAGCAGGTGAGGCGAGGAGCAATGCGCCATGCGCCTTGCGCCTTGAGCAGTGGCCATCTATTGTTCCTCACAGCCCTGCCTTGAGATTTCACCTGCTCCTCAGCTTTGGCGGCCTCCTTTTTTTCTGAAGCGTCCCAAGAGCCTTCCCTGGAGGCTGCACCTTCTTCTGCCCCGCACCCCTCGCTGCACCCACTTCCTCTCCCACACCCTCGTCCTCTCCTTCCTCCTAGGCACCACCCCCTTTGCCTCTACCTCCTCCACCCCAGGTACGCCCATCAAGTGGAAATTCCTGAGCTGAGCGCGCTTTGGTCCGCTCCCCTGGTGGGAACTCACTGACCGTTGGCCGGCCCTCTCTTCCCTCTTTCCTTCCTCCATCCCCCTATGGCCCCTCCTTGTACCCACCTCCACCACCCAAGTACGCCCAGAAGGCGGTGAAACCGGAAGTGAATGAATTGGTTCACTCACACTGCTGGTCCAGCACCCCCCTCCACTCCCTCCCCCCTCACCCCAGGTACGCCCACCCCAGGTGAGGGGGAGAGGAGAGGTCGCGACGAAGAATGGGGCATGGATGCTGCTGGGAGGCCAAGTGTGTCGTGGTGCTTTTGAGTCGACTCAAAAGGAGGCCAAGTGTGTCGTGGTGCTTTTGAGTCGACTCAAAAGGAGGCCAAGTGTGTCGTGGTGCTTTTGAGTCGACTCAAAAGGAGGCCAAGTGTGTCGTGGTGCTTTTGAGTCGACTCAAAAGGAGGCCAAGTGTGTCGTGGTGCTTTTGAGTCGACTCAAAAGGAGGCCAAGTGTGTCGTGGTGCTTTTGAGTCGACTCAAAAGGAGGCCAAGTGTGTCGTGGTGGCTCTCAATCTGGGGGAGGTGCCCGGAGTAGATGAGTGTTTCGGGGGTAAAAGTGGATAGGTAGGGGGAGGGGGGAGAGGAGAGAGGAGAGGACTGTACAGGGGTGATGAAGTGATACATGTTTTAGAATTCACAGAACATGGTCTCCCTCTCCAATATGCAGTTGTCAACGTTTAAATCATGCCTATTCCCCCACCCCACACCCCCCTCCGCCCTGTCCCCCACGCTGTCTTGATGCAACTCGCTCGTCCATCCTATTGAGATGATTCTGCACAGAGCAGATGCCCTAGGCTGTCTTGATGTTATTCCTGGACACGTCAACATTCCAAACGCTCCCTCTCTTCCTTCACTCCCCTCTCCCACCCACCCCCCCACTTTCCCCTCCACAACTGTCTCCTTGCATCCATTTTTTTTTTTTTTTTTCCACCGCACGCATAACATTCAAGCCACCCCTATCCACCCATCCCGCCCAACCCCTTCCCACCCTATTGTGTTGGGTGACTACCGTGGCCATTTTGGACGACATTGGGTACAGAGAGAGGCAATCTGATTGTGTGGGATGCACTGACTGGATCAGTTGCAGTCGCCCCTTTCTAAGCATTGGCGACACACAGCGGATCCCAGAGGAGAGGAGGCTTTGAGGCGCCTCAAATGTCAAAAGCCATTCTGCTTCTTGCACCATTGCAGCACGCTTGCTTAGAGATAATTTCACTTGACATGCGAGTCTTTGTCGCATGCATGCCTCCAGCATGCCACTCAAGTAAAGACCAAATCTTCCTGGGTGTCGCTTCCCTCTTGCACCAGGTATTGTTGTTATAGGAGCTGGCTGGAGAGCATGGGGGTGGAAGTTCTAGACGGCCAAGGATGAGAGTGAGGAGGGCAAAAGGCACTGGGCTGAGTACGATCATGCAAACGGGGACTCGCAGGCAACGAGGGAGGCAGAAAAAGCCGTGTTTGAGAGCTTGTATGAGTGGCTGTTAGCTGATCCACGCCCAGTTTGCTTATGGAAGGATGAACGTCTACACCGATTTACCAAAAGCTTTTCCCCTCCTCGCTCAGCACTACGCCCCTACCACCTTCTCTTCTCCCACACTCACTCCCGCTCCCTTTACCTTCCCTCACCAACAACATCACCTTCTCTTCGCTGGCCACAGGTTGCAGCAGCAGCGGCATTCGTGGTGGCGAGGGGCCAGTCAGGAGTGACGAGTGGGTGGATGCGGGGCTTGGAAGCATGTGAAGCATGAAAAGGTGCGAGCACAGACCAGTCTCACATGCTGGGCCGGCTCAACCACACCTCGAGACAGCGGCGAGGTGACTGGTTCGAAGGATTCACTCTAGGTCAGGCACACTCCATTTTGTGTTAGGCATGCACCAGAAGTCAGTCAGATACTCATACAGGTCAAGTGAGGCATCGCATGGGCACACACTCCAGGTCGGCCTCACAGGTGAGGTTAGGCACACCCCTATTCGTCAGGCACATCCCTATTCGTCAGGCACACACCTATTCGTCAGGCACATCCCTATTCGTCAGGCACATCCCTATTCGTTAGGCACACCCCTATTCGTCAGGCACATCCCTATTCGTCAGGCACATCCCTATTCGTCAGGCACACCCCTATTTGTCAGGCACACGCCTATTCGTCAGGCACATCCCCTACTCAGATTACGTACGGTGTCCTTTTGTCGGCATTCACACTGGCTCAAGAATGTCGCCAGGGTCGGCATTCAACCACACATGGCTTGTGAAGGTGGCAAGATACACGAGGGGAACCACGTACCAGGGTCGATGTCTTTGCGATATCAAGGCCTCGCTATTCGATGCCGGCCTCTCAGCTGGTGGCATGGCGGCGCTGCACGGCGATAGAGGTAAGAGAAGAGAAGTGTCGCAGGATGTAGTGGCAATATCTGTCACCAATTGTCATACCCAACATCCAACCAATTCTCCCGCCACCCCGATCAGGTTATCCAGCGCCTTCGCTCATCTCTCCCCTATCTTCTCCGCCTTCCTTCCTGTTGTCAATTATCTAATCGTATAAACGCATCGATACCGGCTCCCATCATGCCATCCACCTCCTTTCTTAAAGTTCACCTTGTGCACAAACTAGCGCACCCCCAACACAGACAAGCAGCAGCGCCATAGCAAGCAATCACAATGCAGTCATCGCTTTATGCTCTTGGCAATTCCTTTGCAGTCGAATAACTACTTTGCAACAGATTCCCTCAAAAGTGCAATCTAGTTCGCAATGCTCGTCTAGTCGTGCACGCCTGACGTGACGCCGCCGTGCACGACTTGACGACTGTTTACAGTGCTTGCTAAGCTTTGAAAGCATGGAATAGAGATGGTGGGGGGTCATAGGTACGGAGCGTCAAAGGACTCAAAAGCTTTGGCGAATGGAGGAAAATTGTGATCAAGGATATTGCTGCTGTGCGAGCTGAATTGATTCAACTGATTCTACAGGCATTCCTACACTGCAGGGAGGCATACACGTGAACCCCTGCATGCTCTTTCAACACCACTTTTACCTCGAAGCATTCTAGCACTTGCGTTAAGCATATGTAAGAGTTAACTAAGTAGTCCATTTTAGAACATCACGCTTGCCTTGACAGCACATGACTTGACAGCACATGCCTTGACAGCACATGCCATCTAAGGAAGGACTGCTTTCTCCTCAGCGCTTAGAATGAATCCTTGAATCAGCATGTATAAAAGCGGTTGGCAATTGCTACTATTTGCAATCTCTTTTGCATTAACCCCGTCACACTTGCTTGTAGGACTTGCATTTTGTTACTTTGTGAATCCCTCCTTTGTAGGCAAGCGTCGAATTCCGAAAAAAGAACAAGCAGAGCACGTTGCTCCTTGCATCTCAATCATCCCCGCTCTTCTTTTCCATTTGTTTCCACTTCCATCCCCCTCTTTCTCCTAAAGGCATTCAGATTATGATGGGATTGCTTCATTTAGAAAGCATATAAGAGAAGCCATGTTGTGCGACTAATTGGAGAAGATACTACTTAGACATCCATTCCATCCCACTAAGGCGCATTTGGTCCCATACCTCATCTCATCCCATACATCATGCTACAGTGTGCATCCCACTCCACTGCCATTTTGGAATCAAACTTGCTTCCCTCAATGAACCGCCCTTGCGTCTCTGAACCTACCCATGCCTGCCATTCACTCATTCCTGCCCTTCACCCGTGCATGTTCTTCACTCAGCAGAATCCCCTCAAGGTCGCTGGAACACTACGAGCATGCCACACAATAGCAGCTGCTGTAACAAGCAGAGGGAGGTTGGAGGAGGGGGGGGAGGGGGGGGGGGGAGGGCATGAAGTGGGTAGAGTGGTGGGGGTGCAGTGACAAGGTGCACCTGCAATAGCCTGGTGTCACAACTCCATGCAGTGACAAGGTGCAGCTGCAATAGCCTTTGTCTGATCTTGTTATACCGAATTCATAACTACATTGTGGTGAGCGCTGGAGACACACAGCGACCTCGGTGGAGAGGAGAGGAGGGCGGCCTGCTGAGAGGAGCACCACTGCAGCACACTCTGAGATATTCTCCCCTCCCCTCCCATGCATGCCTTCGCTGCCTGCATTCCACTCGCATGCCACTTGAATCACGTCCATCTCTTCCAATGCATGGATGGACGCCATGGGCATTCCAACATCAGGGTTTACGTCTTGTCTTGCATGGTTTTGCATTGTCTGAGCCTGCACTTATCTCGTCCGATCTGTTGTGGCCTAGTCAGGCATGCCCCGCCCTGGCCTGCTGTGTCCTGGTTTCGCCTGGTATGGCCTGGTATGGCCTGGTATGGCCTGGTATGGCCTGGTATGGCCTGGTCTGGCCTGGTCTGGCCTGGTCTGGCCTGGTATGGCCTGGTTTGGCCTGGTCTGGCCTGGTCTGGCCTGGTCTGGCCTGGTCTGGCCTGGTCTGGCCTGGTCTGGCCTGGTCTGGCCTGCTATGGGGCCTGACTTGAGGGCCACAAGGTTTGCCTTGAGGTCTTACAACAAATCTGAGGGCCTGCTATCACCACCATCTCGCTCCCACCACCATCTCACTCCCACCACCACCTCACTCCCACTTTCATCTCACTCCCACCACCACCTCACTCCCACCGCCATCTCACTCCCACCACCGTCTCACTCCCACCACCGTCTCACTCCCACCACCATCGCACTCCCACCATCATCTCACTCCCACCACCATCTCACTCCCACTATCATCTCACTCCCACCACCACCTCACTCCCACTATCATCTCATTCCCACCAACTATCATCTCATTCCAGGGCTGACGTAAAAAAAAAAAAAAACCACTCTGAAGCAGGGGAGGAAAAAAATCGTTTAGTCTGAGGGTCATTTCCCAAGTTCTGAGTACTCTGAAATGTCAGGTTTGAAAAAAATCATTAGTCTGAAAAGTTTTAAGTTTGTAAAACCACATCCGAGTTGGTTAATAGCGAGTATCTGTCAAGTGAGTTTGGCCTAGGGAAAACGTTGCGGAGTTGGCGAGAAGCAGGAGTAAGAGGGGGCGGGGGAAGGGGGAGGGGGGAGGGGGGCAGGGGGGGAATTGAATGTAATTCGATAGAGGGGGAGGGGGGAGGACTGAAATTCGGCAATTTCAGGGGCCATACTCCCTGTAGTCTCGAGTCTCAATATCGCACAATGAAGTACTCTGAGGCCTTCAGAGTTCAAAAACTAACAGGTCTGAGGCCTTCAGAGTTCAAAATACAGGAATACTGAAATTTCAGGAAAGGCGAAAAAAAGAGTCTGAGATTTCAGACAATCAACTAAAATAGTCTGATAAAATCAGCCCTGACTCATTCCCATTATCATCTCACCCCGACTATCTTCTCATTCCCACTATTATCTCACCCCGACTATCATCTCAATCCCACTATCATCTCACTCCCACCACCATATCTGCCATGCATGCAAGCAGCAAGAGGTCCAAGAGCCAGGAAGGCTACCTCTGTCTAGAAATTGTTTGAATGAAGTTATATGCTTGAGATACGTAATTGAGACGCACTAGCTAAGTAGTTTGCATGCGTTGTAGCGCGTTAATGGTTTCCAGCAATGGTTGAACTTAGCAAGTATCTCGTAGAATTTGCGGAGAGATTGATTGGGGGGATTTAAAATAGTACGTCGAACTCGTTTGATTACGTTAAGTTTTCTTAAGGAATTACAAGTTTCTGCTGTAGATCACTCTGGTTTGTATGTTCCGAAGAGTTCGCTTCAACTGGTTCGGCCTATTATTCGCCCCGAACCACTTTCGACTCGCTTACGGACCTTTCGCCTTGTTCCGAGCCTCGCTCCCTAGGTCCATGCCTAGCTCGGCTATGCCTACTTTGGTCCCTGTTTTAAACAGCCGTGGGACATTCTGTTCTGTAGGTTTCTAGTTTGCAAAAGCCTCGCACTCATAACAGTTTTTTCATTGAATCAAAATTTTCGAAGGAATACACAGCACCTGCGTTAGTGGCTCGATAGCGGCCGTGTAAAAGCGGCAGACAGGGAGACGGCGAAAAAGGAACTGTGGACGACAAAAACGGAACAGCTGACGAGCGACGGTAGACGACGAGAGAGCGATGACCGACGGTAGACGACGAACGACGAGTGGCGGTAGACGACGAGAGAGCGACAGGCGATAATAGACGACGAACGACGAGTGGCGGTAGACGACGAAAGAGCAACAGTAGACGACGAAAACGAAGGCGGGTCTCCCGGCGGCGGCAGCAGCGGAAGTAGCAGCGTCGCTGCGAGCAGCAAAGGCCGACGCGGCGGTGGCATTGGCCGCCGCGATCCTCGCTGCGTGCGCGCCTCTACCCCCGCCTCCGCGAGAGTCCACGCAAATTGGCTTCCGCCCTTGTGGGAGGGGGGACGCAGATGTGGTTAGCAGTGGCGGCCGGCCTCACTCACTGGGAAGGGGAGGCGGAGCGGGGAGGGGAGGCGTAGGTAGGGGAGGGGGAAGGGGGAATGCGGGCGCGTGGAGTTTGGGTTTGGCGGAAACGAGGCGACAGGGAGCGGAGCAGGAGTGCGGAGGATGGGGGAAGGGGCAGGCGGAGGGGTGAGGAAGGGCGGGAGAGAGGGAAAGGGGGAAAGCGCGCCACCAGGGACCAGAGGAGGGGCGCAAGAGGGGGCCGCGGAGGAGCGCCTGTAGAGAGCCGCGATGGGGGCTGCGAGTGGGTAGGCGAAGGCGCGAGAGGAGAAAGGACAGAGAGATTGGAGGGGAGAAGGGGTAAGCAGGGGAGGAGAAGGGAGGGGAAGAGAAGAGAGGGAAAGAAGGCAGCGAGGCGAAAAAGGAAACTCATACGACCTCTTGCAGCAGGTTAGGCAAGCAGCAGGTGAGGCAAGCAGCAGGTGAGGCAAGCAGCAGGTTAGGCAAGCAGCAGGTTAGGCAAGCAGCAGGTTAGGCAAGCAGCAGGTTAGGCAAGCACCAGGTTAGGCAAGCAGCAGGTTAGGCAAGCAGCAGGTTAGGCAAGCAGCAGGTTAGGCAAGCACCAGGTGAGGCAAGCAGCAGGTGAGGCAAGCAGCAGGTTAGGCAAGCAGCAGGTTAGGCAAGCAGCAGGTTAGGCAAGCAGCAGGTTAGGAAAGCAGCAGGTTAGGCAAGCAGCAGGTTAGGCAAGCAGCAGGTTATGCAAGCAGCAGGTTAGGCAAGCAGCAGGTTAGGCAAGCAGCAGGTGAGGCAAGCAGCAGGTTAGGCAAGCAGCAGGTTAGGAAAGCAGCAGGCTAGGAAAGCAGCAGGTTAGGCAAGCAGCAAGTTAGGCAAGCAGCAGGTTAGGCAAGCAGCAGGTGAGGCGCTGAGTCGGTTGTTTGCCATTCAACGCCACTGAGTTATGGTTGTGACGCGCACCTGACACCTTGCCTTGGTGATTGCATCCACACCCCTCGCTGCACTGCACCCATCTCCTCCCTCACACCCATCTCCTCCCTCACACCCATCTCCTCCCTCACACCCATCTCCTCCCTCACACCCATCTCCTCCCTCACACCCATCTCCTCCCCCGCATCAATGTCCTCCGGCACGTCAAATTTCCGCACCCCTCCTCCTCACGTCTTTTCTCTCCCCACCTCAAACTCCTCGTTCACCAGGTGCTCGCCAGGTGCTCGCCAGGTGCTCACCCCCGAGCTCAGCGCGCTTCTCCAATGGGCGTGCTGCTTACCACCAAGTGGAAGGGGTGCCTGGGGCAGGTGAAGGGGCGGGAGGGAGTGCTGACAGTGAATGGTGTGCAACGATGGGGAGAATGGGGGGAAGGGTGAGGAGAATGGAGTGGGCGAGGAGATTGGGGGGGTGATTATTATGCAAAACATTCCTGTGATTTCGCATCACCGTTTATCGCTTCTGTTGGATGGTCTTGAGGTGGGCTGTGTGCGAATGCACCACTCAATGTTTAAACCACCCCCGCCCACCCTCCCCACCCCTCTTCCGCCCAATCCCCAGGTGGTCTTGAGATAGCCCTCACATCCACCCTATCAGAAGCTGCTGCATGCAGCATTCAAAGTTCCACGTATCCCTATCCAACCAGCCTCACCACGACCACCCACCCCACCCACTCCTCTGTCGTCTCCCCAGGTGGCCTTGACGCTGCCCCTATCCCAACACATCACCACCCATCCTATCAGATGTCGCCACTGCATACAGCACCCCTATCCACCCATTCCCAACCGCCCATCCCATCCCAACCACCCATCCCATCCCAACCCTTTGCAGTCTCCTCAGGTGGCCTTGACGCTGCCCCTATCCCAACACATCACCACGCATCCCATCAGATGCCGCCACTGCACGCAGCACCCCTATCTACCCATTCCCAACCGCCCATCCCATCCCAACCGCAGGGAAGGTGGGATGGAGGGTAGGGGGGAGGAGGGGCGGGCGGGGGTAGAGTAGGAAGCATGCAGGGAAGAGGTGCAGGAGTGGGGGAAGAGGTGCAGGAGTGGGAGAAGAGGTGCAAGAGTGGGGGAAGAGCGTGGTCAGGACAGTGGGTGATAGGGAGGTGGATGGAAACCAGTGGTTAGGCGAGGACAAGGGTGGAGAGATGGAGCAGCAATGGAAAGAGGAAGAAATGACGAGGGCTGAGAGGAGCAAAGGTGATGAGGAGGGCAAGGTGGAAGAGTGCAGTGGGTGAGGAGAAGGAAGAGGAGGGAAAGAAGGAAGAGCGGTTGGAGGAGAAGGACGGGGAGGTGGAGGAGACGAATGTGGCATGGGCATGCATGCATGCAGCAGGTAAGGCGAGGAGGTTTCAGAATCCTCAAGAACACCCTGCAGAATACAGGCGACCTCAGACACATGTAGGCGCGGAGGCATGCAGCAGGTGAGGCATGCAGCAGGTGAGGCATGCAGCAGGTGAGGCATGCAGCAGGTGAGGCATGCAGCAGGTGAGGCATGCAGTAGGTGAGGCATGCAGCAGATGAGGCATGCAGCAGATGAGGCATGCAGCAGATGAGGCATGCAGCAGATGAGGCATGCAGCAGATGAGGCATGCAGCAGATGAGGCATGCAGCAGATGAGGCATGCAGCAGATGAGGCATGCAGCAGGTGAAGCATGCAGCAGATGAGGCATGCAGCAGATGAGGCATGCAGCAGGCGAGGCATGCAGCAGGCGAGGCATGCAGTAGGAGAGGCGAAACACGGGGGGTGCAGTAGGTGCAGTAGGTGCAGTAGGGGAGGCGGAGCGGCGAGGGGAGGCACAGAGAGGGGAGGGGGAAGTAAGTGAGGATGCGGGAGCCCGTGGCTTGGGTTTGACGGAAACGAGGTGAGGGGTGGGAGCAAGGGAAGCAGTGGACAGGCGGAGGGGTGGAAACAGGCGCGAGAAGGGGCAGGGAGTGGAGGGGAGAGTGGAGGAGAGGCACGTGGATGGAGAACGAGTGGGTAGGCGAAGGCGAGAGAGGAGAAAGGGAGGAGGTATTGGAGGGGAGAAGGGGCAAGCAGGGGAGAAGGGAGGGGAGGATAAGGAACGGGAGGTGATTGGAGGGAAAAGAAGATAGGGCAAAAAGGCAGCGCGGTGAAATGGCAGAGGTGGAGGCATGCAGCAGGTGAGGCGGTGAGTCGATCACTCGCCATTCAACAGCACCATCGAGCATGGTTTCTGAGTCGGCTCAGAAAAGACAGGGGAAAAGGAAGATGTGAATGGGGGGGCATGGCTCAGCTGTCTTGTATTCTGGATGTCCATGTGTGAGGGGTGAGTGCTGGCTGAGGTGAATGGGGGGGGCAAATGGGAGTGTTCATGGTGGTTCGGCTGGTGAGGTGAGGAATGAGGTTCCTGGCTGTTGTGAGTGCAGGCTGAGGTGGGAAATGGTTTCTTTCCAAATGTTGCCTTGCCAAGGTGAGTGCAGGTTAGTGAAGGGTTGGTCAAGGTGACTCCACGCGAGTGACCTGGCAAAATGGAGGGAAGGGTGGGAGGGGAATGCAAGAAGTGTGTGTGTTATAGATGGTGATTCATTCATGTGGTAAATGTGTAGTGGGGAATGAGCGGTGCTGACTGTGGTGGTGGAAGGAAGGCGAGACCAGGCGGAAGCGGGAGGTGGTGTGAGTGGGGTTGAATCCGGAGAAAATGCAAGTAGGGAGTAAGCAGTTGCTATGACGAAGGTCAAGTCGCTTCATGCATACCCTCTTGCTTGCACTGCACTTTCCCCATTATGAGCCAGAAGATGATGGACAGCGATTGCCATGTCTCATTCATCGTGCCAGTCTTTGAACCGCCCGCGCTGCCGGGTGAGTAGGGTGACTGGCGGGTGACTGGCGGGTGAGTGGCGGGTGAGTGGCGGGTGAGTGGCGGGTGAGTGGCGGGTGAGTGGCGGGTGAGTAGCGGGTGAGTAGCGGGTGAGTAGCGGGTGAGTGGCGGGTGAGTAGCGGGTGAGTAGCGGGTGAGTGGCGGGTGAGTGGCGGGTGAGTGGCGGGTGAGTGGCGGGTGAGTGGCGGGTGAGTGGCGGGTGAGTGGCGGGTGAGTGGCGGGTGAGTGGCGGGTGAGTGGCGGGTGAGTGGCGGGTGAGTAGCGGGTGAGTAGCGGGTGAGTGGCGGGTGAGTGGCGGGTGAGTGGCGGGTGAGTGGCGGGTGAGTGGCGGGTGAGTGGCGGGTGAGTGGCGGGTGAGTGGCGGGTGAGTGGCGGGTGAGTGGCGGGTGAGTGGCGGGTGAGTGGCGGGTGAGTGGCGGGTGAGTGGCGGGTGAGTGGCGGGTGAGTGGCGGGTGAGTGGCGGGTGAGTGGCGGGTGAGTGGCGGGTGAGTGGCGGGTGAGTGGCGTGCCGTGGGCATCCCCTCTGGACGACAATGGGGCGCACAGGCTGCCTGGCTGCTGAAGAACGCTCACTGGCCAAGGTAAGGTGGGGAAGGTGACGAGAGGTTGAGATGGGATGTGGTACGGGTAACACGCGGTGGGGAAGGGTGGGGAAGGGTGCATGGGTGAAGGGTGATGAGTGTGATGGGGCATGAGTGATGGGCATGAGTGATGGGCATGAGTGATGGGCATGAGTGATGGGCATGAGTGATGGGCATGAGTGATGGGCATGAGTGATGGGCATGAGTGATGGGCATGAGTGATGGGCATGAGTGATGGGCATGAGTGATGGGCATGAGTAATGGGCATGAGTGATGGGCATGAGTGATGGGCATTTCCAACATTATTGAGGCTCAGATTGGTTTTAGTGGGACCAGCCGAAGGTGCGCACACACGGTTCTTAGCAATTCAGGCGAATGGATGGGGGAATGATGGGAACCGATAGGGGCAGCACATCCCCACCCAGCCTGGGCGAGGTGGATGTAGATGAAGTGAACACCTCACTCCCACCACCATCTCACTCCCACCACCATCTCACTCCCACCACCATCTCACTCCCACCACCATCTCACTCCCACCACCATCTCACTCCCACCACCATCTCACTCCCACCACCCTCTCACTCCCACCACCATCTCACTCCCACCACCCTCTCACTCCCACCATCTCACTCCCACCACCTCCTCACTCCCACCACCTCATCACTCCCACCACCATCTCACTCCCACCACCATCTCACTCCCACCACCTCCTCACTCCCACCACCATCTCACTCCCACCACCATCTCACTCCCACCACCATCTCACTCCCACCACCTCCTCACTCCCACCACCCTCTCACTCACACCACCTCCGCACTCCCACCACCTCCTCACTCCCACCACCTCCTCACTCCCACCACCTCCTCACTCCCACCACCTCCTCACTCCCACCTCCTCCTCACTCCCCACCTCCTCACTCCCACCACCTCCTCACTCCCACCACCTCGTCACTCCCACCACCTCGTCACTCCCACCACCTCCTCACTCCCACCACCTCCTCACTCCCACCACCTCCTCACTCCCACCACCTCCGCACTCCCACCACCTCCTCACTCCCACCACCTCCTCGCTCCCACCACCTCCTCACTCCCACCACCTCCTCACTCCCACCTCCTCCTCACTCTCACCACCTCCTCACTCCCACCACCTCCTCACTCCCACCGCCTCCTCACTCCCACCACCTCCTCACTCCCACCACCACCTCTGCTATGCAGAAGACTCTGAAGGGGCAGCAAGAGGTCCAGTCAACCAGGCTGGAACCTAGACTCGCTACGGTCAAACGCGACGGCGTCCTGGCGACAGCCACCCTCTTGCTCCCTCCCACCGCCCTCTCACTTACGGCCATCCCTGCCATGCAAGAAACGAAGCTCAAGGTGGCAGGTAGGTGTAACAGGTGACACTCTGGATCATGCCGTCTGGATCTTGAGCCTCTGGTGGGGGTGGAGGAGGGGTGGAGGGGGGGGGGGGGGGGGGGGGGGGGGGGGGGGGGGGTCCTGGAAATAGAGGGTCGCTTTGGACCATAACTTGATCGGATGCATCAGTCCAGCCAGCTGTGCGGAGAAATCAATCCACCCCATTCTTCCCCCACCATCTCACTCTCAACGCCATCTCACTCCCACCACCATCTCACTCCCACGCTTCCCCTGGGAAGGAAGCCAGACTGCAGTCAACACTTACTGCAGTCAAATGCGGAGTCCTGCCACAAGGGAGAATCTCCAACAACCCAATTGTAGCAGGCAGCTTGGGTTGTGTTGTGTGCCCCTTCACAAGATGTTTAAAACTGTACCGTTTAGGTATATTAAATCCCGTCGATGTACTGCACTAGCTAGGTTTGTTAGTATGCGCTGTAGCGCATGAGTATTATTCACCCACGATATTTTAAATTCACAATCATCATGTTAGCATTTGTGGAGAGATTAATTGGGTTCACTTTATGATTATTTTGTAGAAACGTGTTCATCACGTTCAGTTAGCTATATGGTTGTGTAATGTTGGAAACAATTAACTCTACGCGCCTCTGTCGTGTCGAAACACCAAGTCAGAAGCGAAGCAAAGCATGTCGAAGCACTGGCGAGTCAACCCTCGGAGGTTGTGCAGTTGCTGGAGGTTACGCGAAAGTCAAAGGTCAGCGACCTTTGACCTGACAAGTACAGCGCGACAGCAAGGACACACAACTGACTCATTACAGAGCAGTTGCCCGAGTCGTCACTGTATCGAACCGCAACAGCAACAGTAAAGTAGTTATAACTGTATCTCTTCATATTCCCTGTACCCTATATAATCTTGTATCTCTTTGCTTTAATCAATCAATTTTGCCCTCACATACTAGCGCAAGGTGGTTCACAACCCTTCATTAAACGTTTCCGCTATTACATCAGTTATACCCACAGTTCACCCCTGCAAAGATCCCAAGGGCTATTTTTCTCAGCCCAACATGGTATGAGAGCTATCAAGGGGAATTCAACTATCAAAACACCTACAACATCAGAAGACATGGCTACTCATAAAGAAAGGAGTTCCTCTATTGGTTCTCCCGGTACTACTCCTACTCCACCTCCTGCCTCTGGCCTACAGACAGAGGAGGGTACGGCAAGAAGACCAAGGGCAACATCCACCGAGACTCCTGCAAATCAACCTGCAGGTTTCGACCAGAGCATAAGTTTTTCTCCTTCATGTCCTTCTGGGAGCAACACCAGCAATTGGCACCTGCGCAGTCACACAACAGCAACAACAACAATGACGTGTCTCTAATGAGCCTTGATGGTTCATCCTACGCACGTGGAAATCAACAGCAGCAACCTACCTTTGCTCCGTACGAGCCCCAGCGCGGTTCCATCAGCTTTATGCCACAAGCGCAGCCTGCACCTGGACAAGAGAAGACACTGGATGTGCTACAAGTTCAGTCGCAGTTCACGCACGTTCTGAAGCTGCAGACATCAAGACCTTTCGACGGAAAGGACCTTTTTACCTGGTGATTCGAGTTCGAGCTGATGATGGAAGGCGCGCAAATCCTCGGCTTCTTCGACGGATCCCTGCCATACATAACAAACGGCACACAGTACGAGAAGCAGCAGTACACCTATCAGTCAATGATGGCATACACAATCCTACTGAGGAATATCACCCCGACTCAACAACAGAATATACGGTCTTACCGGGGATACGGCAACTCCGTCGAGCTCGCATACAGCCACTTGAAAAGCCTGTACCAAGCAACAGACAGCGTAAGTCAGAGTCGACTAATGGCGCAACTGACAGCGGTCGAAATGAAACCAGGGGAAAAGGGGATGGCGTATATCAGTCGCTGTCGCGAATTGCGCGACAAACTCCTTCGATGCGGAGGGTCGATATCTGAAGACGCCTTCGTGACAGTCATCATTGGCGGCCTCGGTCCTCAATGGCGCGCCACAAAAGCCATTCTCCGAGCTCACGGAAGAATCTCCGAAGCAGCACTTTGCTCTGAAGTTCATGCCAACCAACAAGACATGGAGCTGCAAGAAGAAAGATACAAGAGGAAGACGTCAGCACCGGAATTCGCTTTCCACACTCAGCGACACTATAACAACAACAACAACCGACACCAACCAAAGTCTCTACCTCCGTTCTGCCACATCTGTAAGACGTGAGGACACCCACGCACGCACTGCCCCAACCGACAACAATCAACAACAACGAAGCGGTAGCTTCGACCCTCGAGCAGTCAGGTCGCCTCTACACAAGTGAACCCCACCATCCAAGTGCAAGCCTCAAGCGTATAAACGCTTATCGTATATACGCAATCTTATATATGCTGTACGCTGTAGGGACGGGTTTGGAAATCCGCTTTTTCAGGCAGAAAAAAAACTTCCCGGGCAGGGTCAAAAAAAGCCGGGGGGGGGGTATGGGGCCTGAAGTTTCAGAGATTTTTTTTTTCCACATTACACATATACCACGGCCTACACATAAGTAGTGTCATCACTACTATCATCACTACCATCACTACTATCATCACTTACCATCATCACTTACCATCACTACTATCATCACTACTCCATCACGACCATCACTTCTCTCTAAGACAAGCTACGTACTACTCCTTAGGACTAGTCGCCTACAACAAGCCACATTTGCCCCCTCTAGTTAGCGTACTCGTCTTCAAGGATGTCGTCTTTGCCTTCCTCCTCATCCTCTCCCTTCGTCTCGTCTTCCAGCCCATTGTATCCCGCTGGGATTGGAGGCTCCGCTCCAATCCCGGGCACCACATGTGGCAAGACATCGGCGCGCGTATGCCAGTTGCGCACAACATTCCAGTTGTGCACAACATAGACCAAGTCCCTGCACTTGGCGGATCTGAGCCTGTTTCGACGTGCGGTGTGGACGGCATCTCACGAGGACCATCCACGCTCACAAGGTGAGGCTGACACGGCTTGAGACAACACCCGTACCGCGAGCTCTGCCACTCGAGGGGCATCAGTCCCATTCCACTGCCACCACTTCACCATGCTATACTTTCCCTCTTTCACCAGCTTCCTCTGTGCCACGGCTTCCGGCATCCCAAAAGAACCCTTCATGTCAAGGAACGCCCTCAGCCCGTCCCCCAGCTCAAGCAAGATGTCGCACGCGTCATCCCCCCCATCCCCGCGGCTCGCAAGGAACTCGGCCTGCTGGCTGATGAACGCCTTGAAGACTTTCGTGCACTCGGGATCAATGCCGAAAATATCTTCCTCCTGATTCGCGGGGTTGAGGATGCCGCCAGCGACATGCGTGGCGCATGCGAGGCTGCCGTCCCAGCCGTCTCTGAGGATGCGGCGGATCTTGTCCTTGTCCCCGTCGCTCAGCTGCTCCTCGTCCGCATCGAGCAAGCCCCCCACGTCCTCAGTCAACTACAGCATCAAATCGTACAGCCTCCCCATCATCCCCACGGCATGCCCGTCCGTCTGCCTCATCACCTTAAAGGGCAGCTTCAGCAGGGCGACAAAGAACTCGGCCGTCTTCCACCAGGCGGCATCATGGATCAGCGCACTGAACCCGTTACACGATTTCTTCCGGTCCCCTACCGCCCACTCCTTCTAGCCCTCGCTCGTCACCATGTTGGTAAGGCTGCCGCGCATCGCACATAGCCGGGATATGGCTATGTAGTTGGTCTCGAATCGGGTCCCAGCCGGCTTCAGCGCCTGCAGAACCTTCCCCTCCACCAATTCCGGCTTCCACAGGTACCCTCGGGTCCAGTGGTGGTTGCGGACAAAGCTAGATATCTCCCCTCCCTTGTCGACCACCGGCTTAGCCGATCCCATCTTTCCGACATCTTCCATGAGAAGATCCAATACGTGAGGGGCGCACGGCACATCCTGAATGTGCGGCCACTCCCATATGAGCTGCTTCACCGCCACCGCATAGTTCGACCCCCCGTCCATGCAGAACGCAACAACGTTCTCTGGACCCACTTCCTCCACCACGGGCCTAAGAATCCTCGCCACGTAACTTCCGGTTTTCCTCTCCATGTTGCAGTCAATACAGTCGGTGAAGACGGCGCTGGAATCGTTTACGATAAGCACGTTCGCCTGCGGCCTGCCGTTGCGGTCCGTCATCATGTCGGACGAAACCGTCATGCCCGTCCTCTTCCAGCTTGCCTTAATGCCCACCAAATCCTGCTCGATTCCGTTGCGACACGAGAGAAGGCCAGCACCACCGATGTATTTCCTCTTGGGAGGGACGTAGTCGACGCCGACGCGCTTGACGAGGTTCAATGCATTGACCATCAGAGGATGGTCAATGTGGCGCTCGGGGATATGGAGGGCGGCCCAAGCAAGCGCAAGTGCCTCGTCCGCTTCTCTCTTTCTTGCAGTCGCATCCCCCTCAAGGTAATCGGTGATGCGCGCCCGCTTCACACCATTAGCCTTGACCGCGGCAACCGCTTCAGCTGCTGCCCGCCTCTTCTATTCGGCCGCAGCAGCCTTTGCCTCGTATTTCGCGCGCATGGCCAAGCGCACATCTTGCGGCGCATCCTTGCAAAGCACCACTTCACGGCGTTTCATCCCCTTCCACGACGTAAAGTGTTGCGCGCATCGGATGGCAGCACCAGTGTAGACGTTGTTGCAGAACTTGCACTCGTACTGCTGAGCTTTTTCCTCGACCCTCTTGATAATGCGGAAGTGCTTGAAGACGCCATGGTCAACATCGGGTAGATACTCCCGTGCCTCGGTTAGAAGAGTTTGTGAACTGCCAACGGTGGTAACTGACGGTGGCGTTAGAGGAGAGGTAGTAGTCGTCGACATAGGCACCATGCGCTAGGGAATGCCTAGTGCTCTGCTGGTAGCGAGAGAAGACCTAATGAGTTGGATGTTGGGGGCGTGGTTGTTTTATAGCGAGTTGATTGTGGGAGTGGGAAGATGGCCAACAAAAATTGGAGAGGTGTTGGTTGCGAAGGGTTTGAATGCGTTACTGATATTGAACACCAAAATGTGAAGGAACGTGCAAGCGCGACTTGACGAACTTGACTTTCCATTTGCAACACGAACTTTCAACCCACGTCCACGTTAGCACACAGCGCGGACGTGCCATCTGACCCCGCCAATGTCTTCGTCATGCAATTCCGAAGCGAACCGTATAGGTTGAAATTTTCTGGCCGGGCTGCCCCAAAAAAAAATTGGCGAGCGTATAGCGTATTCGATAGCGTTTAGCGTTTTGCGTATACACGATAGCGTGTATACGCTAAACGCAAACAGGTTTGAGCGTATATTCCCACTAAGGTGAGGAGCAGGAAAACTAGGGAGAGAAGGAAGAGGAGGGAGAGAAGGAAGAGGGATGGGAGAAGAAGGACGGGGAGGTGAAAGGAGGAGACGAATGTGGCAGGCTCAGCCGACCACTTACATTGGCGTGGAGGCATGCAGCAGGTGAGTCGAGGAGGTTTCAGCACGTCAAATTTCCGCACCCCCCCTCCTCACGTCTTTTCTCTCCCCACCTCAAACTCCTCGTTCACCAGGTGCTCACCAGGTGCTCGCCAGGTGCTCACCAGGTGCTCGCCAGGTGCTCGCCAGGTGCTCGCCAGGTGCTCACCAGGTGCTCATCAGGTGCTCACTCCCGAGCTCACCGCGCTGCTCCAATGGGCGTGCTGCTTACCACCAAGTGGAAGGGGTGCCTGGGGCAGGTGGGGGAGCGGGAGGGAGTGGTGACAGTGAATGGTGTGCAACGATGGGGAGCCAAGTGTATGGTGCTGGCGCCTGATGCGGAGGTGCCTGAGAGAGGTGAGTATTTGGGGGGAATTGAGAGGAGAATGGGGGGAAGGGTGAGGAGAATGGAGTGGGAGAGGAGATTGGGGGGTTTATTATTATGCAAAACATTCCCGTGAATTTGCACCATCGTTTATCGCTTCTGTTGGATGGTCTTGAGGTGGGCTGTGTGTGAATGCACCACTCAATGTTTAAACCACCCCCACCCACCCTCCCCACCCCTCTTCCACCCAATCTCCAGGTGGTCTTGAGATAGCCCTCACATCCACCCCATCAGAAGCTGCCGCATGCAGCATTCAAAGTTCCACGTATCCCTTTGCAACCAGCCTCACCACCATCACCTACCCCACCCCCTCCTCTGTCGTCTCCCCAGGTGGCCTTGACGCTGCCCCTATCCCAACACATCACCACTCATCCCAACACTTGCAGGTAGCACACGGTGGGTGCAGGTCCAGGTTGCTAGAGGCTGAAGTGGGGCGTTGGTACTATCAGGTAGCACATGGTGAGCTGGATTTGGGGGGAAGTGAATGCCTGCGGGGTAATGCTCGGCTCGCAACATTCTTGTGGTTGTGGCTCTGTCCTGACACCGCCTGGCTAAGATAGGGTGGAGAAGTTGTAGAGGTTGAGGCGGAGTGTTGGTGCTTCATGTAGCACACTGTGGTGGGGGCGGGGGGCTTGCATGTGTGGGGAGTAGTGTACACAGCATTCCTGAGCTTGTGCCTTTCTCTGATGCCCCCTTGCAAAGGTAAGTTGGCTATTGGGTGAGGTGGCTAGAGGCTGCGGTGCAATCAGGTAACGCACGGTAAAGTGGGGAAGAGAGGATTGGAGGAATCAGGTCGCGGTGAGCTATTGGCATGCGTGTGTGAGGCGCAATGCATGCGGAATCCACGAGGTTGGTGACTGCCTCTCTCCAGATGCCCCATGACTAAGGCGTCTGCAGGTGAAGGTGGGGGGCGAGGAACTGCTTAAGGGGAAGTCCTGTGACCAGGTGGATGGGGGAAGGCTGGGACGGAAGAGGTGTGTGGGCTATAGATGTTGTATCTATCAGGTATCATGGTGGTCTGTGCGTGAGGTGATGGGAGAGTGGTGCTGACTTAGGTGGCAGAAGGGAGGCAGCAGCACCAGGCGGAATCTGGAGGGGATGTGAGTGGGGAGGGGAGTAAGCGGTTGCTGTGAAGCAGCACGAGCGCTCATTTTCTCGTGTACACTACTCGATTTCTGAGGCGCTTCAAAAATCTGGAGGGGATGTGAGAGGGAAGTAAGTCGGTTGCGGCGATGACGCACAAGGCGCATGCTTGCTCGCTTGCAATAACTTTCTTTTCCCCACTCGGCCCTTCCACCTTCATGCCTACCCCGTCTTGGCTGTTTATCAGCTCTGGAGACCACACTCTGATGGGGATGTTGCGTGCATCATTTCCCATGCTGCATGCATCAACCCCCATGCTGCATGCATCACCCCCCATGCTGCATGCATCAACCCCCATGCTGCATGCATCACCCCCCATGCTGCATGCACCATTTCCCATGCCGTATGCATCAACCCCCATGTTTATCAGCTCTGATGACTGCAATGGGGGAGATGCATGCATAGTCCCCAGCGCATTGCATTGCACCCACTCTTGACCTCGTCTTATTGCATCCTCCCATCTCCTTTCTCCCTGCCACCCAGATACTACACTGGCTGCGCTGCCGTGTGAGTGCCGTGGTAATATGGACGACAATGAGTCCATATGATGTTCGAGTCACTTCTCGAAAGTGACGCACACAGTGATTCCGTGCTTGCATTGCAGTTCCCTCAGCCTCTCGTCAACTCTTTCCATTGTGCTGTGTTGCTCTGAGCAACACCATTTGCTAACCTCACCTTTCATGCTGCCAGGCCTTGAACCGCCCACGATGCCGGGTGCGCTGTCCCCATGTGGCAAGGTGAGTAGAGTAGTGGCTGAGGTGCATGGGAGTGGTAATACACGCAACATTCCCATGGTCATAACTCTCACCAGACGTCGCCATTCCAAGGTGAGGGCAGGGTGAGGTTCGATGGTTGTGCTATCAGGTAACATGCGGTGAGGTGGGTGCAAGCAGGCTGAGGTGGGAGTGCTACTGCTATCAGCTAACACAAGGTAAAGGTAGTGAATGGGGGGTGCATGAATGAGGATTAATGCACGCAGCATCCCTGTGGTTGTGGCTCTATCAGTCTCAGCGCCGCCTGGGCAAGCTGAGTGCAAGCTGCAGTGGGTGTTGGCTCTTATTGGGGAGTACAGGTCAATATAAGGTGGGAGGTTGTGCATGCTTATTTGGCTGTCTATGGTGAGCACGAAGGTGGGAAATCGAGGAAGCATGACCATAAGGGGTTGTAAGTTGCACACACAGTTGGGGTGCACTGCCGACGCGGTGCACAGCCTGCTGAGGAGTGTTCTCGCATAGTTTGTGATTGTTGGAGGGGCAGACAGATTAGGGGAGAAATCTTTAGCAGAAAGGGCAGGTGGAGGATCAAGAAGTCATGTCAACGAGGCTGCTGCTCGAGCCATGCTGGGGGTAGCGCAAGAGTTACAAGCTTGCGAATCAAGCTGTGCTTCGGTGGCGAGATCAGCGACACGATCAACCTGAGAACTGTTACTCTTGTTTTGAACCAAGAATTTCAAGGTCAAACGCAACAAAGTCGTAAAACGAGGGATCTGGCAACAACTGCCTTCTTGCTCCCTTCGCTCTCACGCTCCCACTGCCCTCTACTCCCACCGCCATTATCGCTACCTTATGTAACAAATGAAGCCTGGTGGGAGCAGCAAGAGGTCCACCAGGCACGCTGGAGCGAAGACTTGCTACAGTCAAATGCCGAGTTATGGGGGGGGAGGGGGCGGAGAATTACAACCCGACACATCCAATCTATAAATAGTTAAGTGGAAACTCGTAATTTCAGAGCACTAGCCAAGTTCGTACGTGTTGTAGCGCATAAGCGATCATCCGCAGTGGTTGAACTTTGAATAGTAATCTTGTACAACTTGTGGAGAAATCAACTGTCGTTGTTTCAATTTTTTACCTACAACTCGTTTCTTTCCTTTGTGTGCGTATAAGAGTTCATTGTTTATTACTGTAGGGTTACTCTATCCTTTCTCTTCCGTCGAGTTCGCTTCTACTGGTTCGGCCTAAAATTCCGCTCCGAACCAATTCCGAGTCGCAGCCGCACTTTTCGCCAAACTTCCGAGCCTCGTTCACGCCGAGGTCTTCGCCTAGCTCGACCCAGCCAATTTGTACCTCGTTTTAGACATTCCCGGGATACTCTGTTGTATCTTGTAGCGTTTCTGTCTGGAAAACTTGCGAATTCCTAACAGTCTGTAGGAGTCACACAGCAGGATCAGGAAGTGAAAGCTGGGTAGGCAGCAGTGGAGCGTCGAATAGGTGGCTCAATAGTCGTCGCGTCGAAACGACAGACAGGGCGACTTGAGCGAGAAGAGAGATACGACAGCAGAGGCGCGAGGAGCAGCAGCAATGGCGGGTGGGCAAACAGAAAAGCCTGACATTCGATGAGAGACATGATAAGACATTGCGATACTGCGTTGGCAATCGAAGGTCGTTTAGAGCGTCAGGTATTGGCGCAAATGCTACTGCGTCAGCGCGACAGATAGGCAACGACACATGGCGACGGGGATGAGAGTGCGACGGACCGCGACGCGAGAGCGAGGGACTGCGACGCGAGAACGACAGACCGCGACAGAGAACGACGGACTACGATGAGAGAGCGACGGACGGCGACGAAACCGCGACTGTCTGCGGCGAAAAGGCAACAGTAGACGACGATAGCGATAAAAAGCGATTCGCGATGGCGGAGAGCCGCGACAGCAGAGGCGAGCAGCAGCAATAGCGGATGGGGCAAGCACGGGAGCGCAGGCGGGGCTCCCGGCGGGGGTGGGCTGCCAAGACAGCACCGTTACTGCGAGCAGCACCGACCGCCACCGCCGCGGCCCCCGCCGCCGGCGCCACCTCCACCGCCGCCATCGCCGCTGCGCGTGCGCCTCTACCGCCGCATTCGCGAGAGTCCGCGGAAATCAGTTTGCGCGCCAGGGAGAGGTGGAGCGCAGATGGGATCAGAAGTGATGGGAACAGTGACGGGTGGTAACGCGGAGTGAGAAGGGGGGGCCGGAACGAGGAGGGTTGGCCAGAGAGAGGAGGGGGAAGTGAGCTTGCGGGCGCGCGTGGCTTGGATTTGGCGGAAACGAGGCAAGGGGTGGGAGAAAGCGGGGCAGGACTCAAGCCGCAGGAGGCGGAGCAGAATGGGGGAGGAGGTGAGAAAGGGCAGGCAGAGGGCTGGAGAAGGGCGGGAAGTGGGAAGGGGCAAGAGGGATGAGAAGGGGGATGCGAGGGGGACCGGGTAGAGGGGCGCGAGCGATTGGGGGAGGACGCTGGGAGGGGCGCGGAGGGGTCCCGGGGGGAATCGGTGGGAGGAGGCAGGTTCGGGTGAAACCTAGCAACGTGGGAGAGCATGGGTGTGAGGCAGGGGGAAGGAGAGGCAGACGCTGAAGCAGAAGAGAATGGGGAGGGGAGGTGCTGGTGAGACAGGCGGGCGGGGGGGAGAGAGATGGGGGAGACGGGTAATGGGGAGGGGGACGGGGAGAAGCGGGAGACGGGGGAGGGGGAGAAGGGGAATGGGAAGGGAGCGAGGTAGGGGGTGAGGGAACGGGAGAGGGTGGGAGAAGAAGACGGGCGTGTGGATCATGGGGTTGGGGGGACGGGACTCATGGCGATGGATGGTGGGAGGTATGGAGGAGGCATAAGAGGCGTGAAGTGGACTGTGCCACACTCGTGGGGGTGGGAGAGGCGAGGGGGAGTTCAGAGGGGGGAGAGGCGAGTGGGTGTGGGGGTATAGGGAGGGGAGAAGAGGGGACGGAGTCATGGTAGGGTGGGATGGAGGGCAAGGGGGAGGAGGAAGCGGAGTGCATGGGAGAGGTGAGGGAAGGGGGACAGAGAGAAGGGGCAAGCGAGGGGGCAAGGAGGGGAGCAGAAGGGATGCTGAGGTGAGGTCCCCTTGCCCGTTTTCAACCCCCCTTTTTCCTTCTCATCAACCCTTTTCCCTCTCCCTTCCACCCCTGCTCCCCTCTCTTTATCTCCCCTTGCCTTTCCCATCCCCTCCGGCCTCCTCATTCTCCCCTGGACCCCTACTTTCCCCCTTCTTTTCCCTCCTTCTCGTCCACATCCCACCTTTTCCTCGACGGCCCCTCTCCTTCCACTCCACCCCACTTAAATCCTACCTTTTACCTTTCTGCTCCTCGCACAGGGATCGATGTCCCCCCTAAGGAGGCTGAAGGGGGCCATTCTTTCCCCCTACACACCCCCACTTCCCCCCTACTCATTCCCACGCACCCCTCCCGCCTTTGCACCCTTCTCCCTCCACGCAATGCGGCAGCGGTGCTACCAGCACTGCAAGAGACCCATCGTTCCCCTTCCCCATTCCCCCTCCGCCTGTCCCCCCTGCGCCATCTCCCTCCATCTCCCCTACACATGGGAGCAGGGAGCCATGAGGCGGCGCGTGCTGGCCTGGCAGGGCTAAAGATGATCCCTTCTTTCCCCTCCATGTTGAAGGCTCCCCCTTCCCCCCCTCAACTCCCCCCATGCACAGGAAGCCATGAGGCAGCGCGTGCTGCCAGGGCTGAAGGAGATTTCGCTTTTCCCCCTCCGCAACCCCCTTTCTACTTCAACCCTCCACGCCCAGGGAACAATGCGGCGGCGGGTGCTAGCAGGGCTGAAAGTGGTGCGAGTCACTTTTGAGAATTTCTCAAAGCTGGGGCAGGCGGTGAATGGTAGGAGGAAACCCCCCTTCTCTCCTCGCCCACCCATGTCCCCCTCAAACTTCTCCACGCACGCATGAGAGCAGGGATTGGCTCCGTCCAGACATCGCCTGGCCAAGGTGCCTGCAGGTGTTCAGTGTGGTGTGGTGGGAGTGCATGTGTGTGGGTGGGATAATGCTCGCAACACTCCCGTGGTTGTGGCTCTCTCCAGACGCCGCCTGGCCAAGGTGAGTGCTGGTGGGGTGCTGGTGCTATTAGGTAACATACAGGGAGTGCAAGGTGATCACAGGTGTTGAATGTGGTGGGTGCTGGTGCTATTCGGTAGCATACCGGAGGCTGGGAACCAGCACATGGGGGGGGGTGCAAGTGTGAAATAGACTGCACGTGGCAGTCCCGTGCACTTTGCTCTATCTCAGCACTGCCTCGCCAATGTGAGTAGAGCTCAACGCGATTGCAAGCTGAGGTGTCTAGATGTTGAGGTGGCTAGTTGCTGAGGTGGCTAGATGTTGAGGTGGCTAGTTGCTGAGGTGGCTAGATGTTGAGGTGGCTAGTTGCTGAGGTGGATATATGCTGAGGTGGTTCGATGCTGAGGTGGGTAGATGGAGAGTTGCTATATGCTGAAGTGGCTATATGCTGAAGTCGCTAGATGCTGAGGTCGCTAGATGCTGAGGTGGTTAGAGGGTGGCTAGAGGCTGAGGTGGCTAGTTTCTGAGGTGCCTATATGCTGAGGTGGTTAGAAGCGTGGGGGGCTAGACGTTGAGGTGGTTAGAAGCGTGGGGGGCTAGACGTTGAGGTGGTTAGAGGCTGAGGTGGGGTGTGGTGCTATCAGGTAGCACACGGGAAGGCCGGGAACCAGCACACAGGGGAGTGCTTGCAGCATTCCCGTACTCATTGCTCTCTCGCGACTCCGCCTGGGCAAGGTGAGTGCAGCTGTTGAATGCGGTGGGGTGGGATGCCGTGCTGTGAGGTAGCACACAGTGAGGTGGGTAACAGTGGGAGTGCTTACGTGATGGGTAACGCACACTGTTTTCTTCCCATTGTTGCCCACGAACAAACCTTGTGGTTCTTTTCCGCCGTCGCCTGCCCAAGATGACTAGAGGCTGTGAGGTGGGGTGGGGACTCGGCCTCGAGTCGCCTTGGCTTGGCTTGACTCATGCAAGCACGGCTCCATTTCCGCGCTGTCGCATGTGTGCCATGGGGAGTCAACGATTCAGGAGTTAATGGTTCAGGACGGCAGTGGGTGGGGCTCTATGGGGAGATGATGCTCACTCCATGGGGAGATGATACTCACTCACTCCATGGGGAGATGATACTCACTCACTCCATGGGGAGATGATACTCACTCCATGGGGAGATGATACTCGCTCACTCCATGGGGAGATGATACTCACTCCATGGGAAGATGATACTCACTCCATGGGGAGATGATACTCACTCCATGGGGAGATGATACTCACTCGCTCCATGGGTAGATGATACTCACTCCATGGGGAGATGATACTCACTCCATGGGGAGATGATACTCACTCCATGGGGAGATGATGGGGGCAGAGAGGAACAGATGGATAGTGCGACCATCTCCCACCACCATCTCATTCCCACCGCCATCTCACTTCCATGGCCTGACTCTGTCCTTGTGCTCACCTCCTGCCTCTCACCCCGGCGACACACTCACTCCATGGGGAGATGATTAGGGCAGAGAGGAACACATGGATGGGGCGATGATGGGTGAAGAGAGGGACACATGGATGGACCGTCTCACTCCCACCACCATATCTGTCATGCCCGAAATGAAGCCTAGTGGGATTTAGGGTTGGAGTGTCTCTGCGAGCAGCACAGGCTGGAGTGGTGGCGGCGGCGGCGCGAAGTGGCGGTAGAATGCGGTGTAGGTCACGCTCCGCCGTCACCACCGCCGTCGTCGTCGCCGCCGCTGCCGCTGCCACCGCCGCCGCCACTCCTGCTACGCGTGAGCCTCTACCGTTGAGAGTCAGCGGAGAATGATTTGCGCGCCAGTGGGATGGGGAGCGCATATGAGGGTGACAATGACGGGCTGCCGCGCGGAGGGGGAAGGGTAGGCGGAGTGTTGAGGGGAGGGATCGAGAGGGGAAGGGGGAGTGAGAATGCGGGCGCGCGTGGGTTTGGTTTGGCAGAAACGAGGCGAGGAGTGGGAGAAGGGGGAGCAGGAGGGCGGAGGAAGGGCGAATGGGCAGGCGGAGGAGTGGGGCGCGGGTGCAGGTGAAGCCAGCAACCAGGGAGAGCATGGATGTGAGGCGGGAAATGGAGAGGCAGACCCCGAAGCAAAAGCGTGTTAGTGGATTGACGAGAATAGTGCTGCAGGATAGACAGGCGTGTGGGGAGGGAGTTGAGGGGGATGCGGAGAAGGGGGGTGGGGAGGAAGAAGGGCGTGTGGTGCATGGGGGTGGAGGGAGGTGTGGAGGAGGCACGAAATGGTTGGAGCATGAGTGGCGAGAAGGAGTGTTCTGTCATTTCAGTGAGGGTGGGAGAGGTGAGACGGGAGGCAGAGGGGGAGAGGCGAGATGGGAGGCAGAGGGGGGAGAGGCGAGATGGGAGGCAGAGGGGGGAGAGGCGAGATTGGAGGCAGAGGGGGGAGAGGCGAGAAGGGAAGCAGAGGGGGGAGAGGCGAGGGAGGAGTCAGGGGAGAGTGAGAGGGAGGGCAGGGGAAGGATGGGAGGTCGCCGAGAGAGGTGGAAGTAGAGGCGAGGGAGGAGGGGCAGAGAGTGGAGGAGAGGGAGGTGGATGGAAAAGAGTTGGTAGGCGAGGGAGGAGAAAGGGAGGGGAGAAGGGGGAAGGGAGAGAGCACGGAGGGGAGGAGAAGAGATGAGAGGAGGAGAAGTGCAGGGAAGAAGGCAGCGTGATGAAAAGGCAGCATCAGGTGAGGCAAGCAGCAGGTTAGGCAAGCAGCAGGTTAGGCGAGCATCAGGTTAGGCAAGCAGCAGGTTAGGTAAGCAGCAGGTTAGCCGAGCATCAGGTTAGGCAAGCAGCAGGTTAGGCAAGCAGCAGGTTAGGCAAGCAGCAGGTTAGGCAAACAGCAGGTTAGGCAAGCAGCAGGTTAGGCAAGCAGCAGGTTAGGCAAGCAGCAGGATAGGCAAGCAGCAGGTTAGGCAAGCAGCAGGTTAGGCAAGCAGCAGGTTAGGCAAGCAGCAGGTTAGGCAAGCAGCAGGTTAGGCGAGCATCAGGTTTAGGCAAGCAGCAGGTTAGGCAAGCAGGCAGGTTAGGCAAGCAGCAGGTTAGGCAAGCAGCAGGTTAGGCAAGCAGCAGGTTAGGCAAGCAGCAGGTTAGGCAAAGCAGCAGGTTAGGCAAGCAGCAGGTTAGGCAAGCCAGCAGGTTGGGCATGCAGCAGGTTAGGCGTCTCCCACGAACTTGAGGTCCTCAGAGGGTTAGGAGAAGAGCAGCAAGGAGGAATCCTTCCACAGGAGGATCGATCACTGAACCATAGTCTCAGCCGCACCCTCACCGTTCGCCCACACTCCGCCGCCATTGCCTCTTCCCAGCCATGCACTCCAGGTGACTGCAGGTGTGCACTCCAGGTGACTGCAGGTGTGCCCTCCAGGTGACTGCAGGTGTGCACTCCAGGTGACTGCAGGTGTGCCCTCCAGGTGACTGCAGGTGTGCACTCCAGGTGACTGCAGGTGTGCACTCCAGGTGACTGCAGGTGTGCACTCCAGGTGACTGCAGGTGTGCCCTCCAGGTGACTGCAGGTGTGCCCTCCAGGTGAATGCTAAAACCCACTCGGAGCACCGGTGGCTGCACTGCTGGTCCATATCCCCTTCTTCCTCCCCCCCACCCCTCCTTGACCCATTCCCTCAGTCCCTTGACCCATTCCCTCAGTCCCTTGACTCATTCCCTCAGACCCATTCCCCCTATCCCTTGACCCATTCCCTCAGTCCCCTGACCCATTCCCTCAGTCCCCTGACCCATTCCCTCAGTCCCCTGAGACATTCCCTCAGTCCCTTGACCCATTCCCTCAGTCCCTTGACCCATTCCCTCAGTCCCTTGACCCATTCCCTCAGTACCTTGACCCATTCCCTGAGTCCCTTGACCCATTCCCTGAGTCCCTTGACCCATTCCCTCAGTCCCTTGACCCATTCCCTGAGTCCCTTGACCCATTCCCTGAGTCCCTTGACCCATTCCCTCAGTCCCTGACCCATTCCCTGAGTCCCTTGACCCATTGCCTAAGTCCCTTGACCCATTCCCTTAGTCCCTTGACCCATTCCCTCAGTCCCTTGACCCATTCCCTGAGCCCCTTGACCCATTCCTGAGTCCCTTGACCCATTCCCTGAGTCCCTTGACCCATTCCATCATTGTCCCTTGACCCATTCCCTGAGTTCATTGACCCATTCCCTGAGTCCCTTGACCCATTCCCTCAGTCCCTCGACTAATTCCCTCAGTCCCTTGACCCATTCCCTGAGTCCCTTGACCCATTCCCCGAGTCCCTTGACCCATTCCTGAGTCCCTTGACCCATTCCCTCAGTCCCTTGACCCATTCCCTCAGTCCCTTGACCCATTCCCTGAGTCCCTTGACCCATTCCCTGAGTCCCTTGACCCATTCCCTGAGTCCCTTGACCCATTCCCTCAGTCCCTTGACCCATTCCCTGAGTCCCTTGACCCATTCCCTCAGTCCCTTGACCCATTACCTCACTCCTTTGACCCATTCCCTCAGTCCCTTGACCCATTCCCTGAGTCCCTTGACCCATTCCCTCAGTCCCTTGACCCATTTCCTCAGTCCCTTGACCCATTCCCTCAGTCCCTGAGACATTCCCTCAGTCCCTTGACTTGACCCATTCCCTGAGTCCCTTGACCCATTCCCTCAGGCCCTTGACCCATTCCCTCAGTCCCTTGACCCATTCCCTCAGTCCCTTGACCCATTCCCTGAGTCCCCTGACCCATTCCCTCAGTCCCTGAGACATTCCCTGACTCCCTTGACCCATTCCCTGAGTCCCTTGACCCATTCCCTCAGTCCCTTGACCCATTCCCTCAGTCCCTTGACCCATTGCCTAAGTCCCTTGACCCATTCCCTTAGTCCCTTGACCCATTCCCTCAGTCCCTTGACCCATTCCCTGAGCCCCTTGACCCATTCCCTGAGTCCCTTGACCCATTCCCTGAGTCCCTTGACCCATTAATTTTGTCCCCTGACCCATTCCCTGAGTTCATTGACCCATTCCCTGAGTCCCTTGACCCATTCCCTGAGTCCCTTGACCCATTCCCTCAGTCCCTTGACCCATTCCCTCAGTCCCTTGACCCATTCCCTCAGTCCTTTGACCCATTCCCTCAGTCCCTTGACCCATTGCCTCAGTCCCTTGACCCATTCCCTCAGTCCCTTGACCCATTCCCTCAGTCCCTTGACCTATTCCGTCAGTCCCTTGACCCATTCCCTCAGGCCCTTGACCCATTCCGTCAGTCCCTTGACCCATTCCCTCAGTCCCTTGACCCATTCCCTCAGTCCCTTGACCCATTCCCTCAGTACCTTGACCCATTCCCTGAGTCCCTTGACCCATTCCCTGAGTCCCTTGACCCATTCCCTCAGTCCCTTGACCCATTCCCTGAGTCCCTTGACCATTCCCTCAGTCCCCTGACCCATTCCCTCAGTCCCCTGAGACATTCACTCAGTCCCTTGACCCATTCCCTCAGTCCCTTGACCCATTCCCTCACTCCCTTGACCCATTCCCTCAGTCCCTTGACCCATTCCCTGAGTCCCTTGACCCATTCCCTCAGTCCCTTGACCCATTCCCTCAGTCCCTTGACCCATTCCCTCAGTCCCTTGACCATTTCCTCAGTCCCTTGACCCATTCCCTGAGTCCCTTGACCCATTCCCTCAGGCCCTTGACCCATTCCCTCAGTCCCTTGACCCATTCCCTCAGTCCCTTGACCCATTCCCTCAGTCCCCTGACCCATTCCCTCAGTCCCTGAGACATTTTCTCAGTCCCTTGACCCATTCCCTCAGTCCCCTGAGACATTCCCTCAGTCCCTTGACCCATTCCCTCAGTCCCTTGACCCATTCCCTGAGTCCCTTGACCCATTCCCTCAGTCCCTTGACCTATTCCCTCAGTCCCTTGACCATTCCCTCAGTCCCTTGACCCGTTCTCTCAGTCCCTTGATCCATCCTTCCTCAGTCCCTTGACCCATTCCCTCAGTCCCTTGACCCATTCCCTGAGTCCCTTGACCTATTCCTCAGTCCCTTGACCTGTTCCCTCAGTTTTTGACCGATTCCCTTAGTCCCTTGACCCATTCCCTCAGTCCCTTGACCATTTCCCTCAGTCCCTTGACCATTCCCTCAGTCCCTTGACCCATTCCCTGAGTCCCTTGACCCATTCCCTCAACACCTTGTCACGTACTCACAGTCCCTTGACCCATTCCCTCACTCCCTTGACCCATTCCCTCAGTCCCTTGACCCATTCCCTGAGCCTCCTGACCCATTCCCTCAGTCCCTTGACCCATTCCCTCAGTTCCTTGACCCATTCCCTCAGTCCCTTGACCCGTTCCCTCAGTCCCTTGACCCATTCCCTCAGTCCCTTGACCCATTCCCTCAGGCCCTTGACCCATTCCCTCAGTCCCTTGACCCATTCCCTCAGTCCCTTGACCCATTCCCTCAGTCCCCGACCCATTCCCTCCAGTCCCCTGAGACATCCCTCAGTCCCTTGACCCATTCCCTCAGTCCCTTGACCCATTCCCTCACTCCCTTGACCCATTCCCTCAGTCCCTTGACCCATTCCCTGAGTCCCTTGACCCATTCCCTCAGTCCCTTGACCCATTCCTCAGTCCCTTGACCCATTCCCTCAGTCCCTTGACCATTCCCTCAGTCCCTTGACCCATTCCCTGAGTCCTTGACCCATTCCCTCAGGCCCTTGACCCATTCCCTCAGTCCCTTGACCCATTCCCTCAGTCCCTTGACCCATTCCCTCAGTCCCCTGACCCATTCCCTCAGTCCCCTGAGACATTCCCTCAGTCCCTTGACCCATTCCCTCAGTCCCCTGAGACATTCCCTCAGTCCCTTGACACATTCCCTCAGTCCCTTGACCCATTCCCTGAGTCCCTTGACCCATTCCCTCAGTCCCTTGACTATTCTCTCGCTCTCTTGACTCATGACCTCAGTCCCTTGACCCATTCCCTCAGTCCCTTGACCCATTCCCTCAGTCCCTTGACCCATTCCTCAGTCCCTTGACCCATTCCCTCAGTCCCTTGACTTTACCCATTCCCTCAGTCCCTTGACCCATTCCCTCAGTCCCTTGACCCATTCCCTCAGTCCCTTGACCCATTCCCTCAGTCTCTTGACCCATTCCGTCAGTCCCTTGACCCATTTCCTCCCCCTCAGTCCCTTGACCCATTCCCTAAATCGCTGACCCATTCCCTCAGTCCCTTGACCCATTCCCTCAGTCCCTTGACCCATTCCCTCAGTCCCTTGACCCATTCCCTCAGTCCCTGAACCCATTCCCTCAGTCCCTTGACCCATTCCCTCAGTCCCTGACCCATTCCCTCAGTCCCCTGACCTATTCCCTCAGTCCCCTGACCCATTCCTCAGTCCCCTGAGACATTCCTCAGTCCCTGGACCCATTCCCTGCGTCCCTTGACCCATTCCCTGAGTCCCTTGACCCATTCCCTGAGTCCCTTGACCCATTCCCTCAGTCCCTTGACCCATTCCCTCAGTCCCTTGACCATTCCCTCGTCCTTGACCCATTCCTTAGTCCCTTGACCCATTCCCTTAGTCCCTTGACCCATTCCCT